CGAAACCTGGAGGCCAAGCTCTTGCACTTAGAAAAATTAAAGGAAGAGGACTTGTTTTAAAGGAGCTACGTCGCCGTTCATTGATTTTTAAAAAAAAAATTGTCATGATTTAGGCTATCGAATAAATGACTCAAAATATTGAGACGTAGCTCCTTTAAATTTATTTGAAAGTACACAACCAACAAACACACTCAGAGTCAATTGAATTGTGGCCTCAACGAACGGCGATATTTTTAAACTTTATACGGCATTAACAAATAATAAATAATAAATTGAATTATGGCCTTCAAAAACAACTAATGACGAAATTTTTTAGAGAAAACAAGAATATACTAAATAATGGTAAGTGACACTAACCTTCCTCCACAGGGCTTGAGTCCAATGGAAGACGCACCCCAGTAGTTTGACGTCTGGGAGCAGTTGTCGAAGTACCTTCCATACTGCACACTCGAAGTCTAGCGTGACTTGTCGTAGCGCTGGGGATGGTAACAGCTCTAGCAGCTCTCGGAAAACAGCTCTGTAATCACGCTTCCGTTTGCCCGACATAAGGACAAACAACCAACGGCACCTGCTTGACGTAGTCAACTGCCTTTACGAAGGCGTTGACTGTTAACAGCTGGGTAAACGGCTGACGGTACAGCTTGAAGGTCGCATCCACGTACCAGCTTTTTGCTCTGTTGAGTAGGTCGAGTTGGTGTCGTGTCGCGAAAATCAAATGACGGCGTCCACCAACCTAGTTAGAAAACGAATGCCATAATTAACCTACTGTAAACTGCCGCATAATGATTACAACACTGCTCCAGTCCGTTTAAAAGATCTTTGTTGTGAAACTGTAAAACGGTTTAAAATTAAAAGGATGGTTTTAGGATTTAATAAGTAAATTAATCTATTGAGCAAACAGATTCCATAAAGATTTTGTGTTGTGAAATTGTAAAAACAATAAAAAACGGGTGGTTTTCGAAATAAGTTACATCGAGTTACATCGTAATAATCTTACAAACTTTTCCTTCGATCGATCGATAAATCTTACAGCAGTGTTATGTTTATGTTATAAGTCGATCGTTCGCGTAAATCGATCGGAGAATCTTACAAACTTTTACTTGATAAGCGAAGTTGTGCGTTTGGGCGACACAACTTTGATGTTGGGGCGACACAACTCCGATGTTGGGGCGACGTAACTTCGGTTGGGGCGACGTAACCTGGGGCGACAAGGCAATGGGGCGACACAACCTGACACCCGTTTACCGGTCCAATTGGGATTGTGGAAAAGGAATGTCGAGCAGGCATAGAGTCAAAACTCACAGCAGAGGAATGGACATCCAGCAGGGAACAAGGTGGTCCAGGATTTCTCTCGATATCCATACAGATGGTTAAATCTCTCGAGGGCAACAGCAAACACGTACAGCCATGTTTGTTCCAAGTAGTGATAGGTCGATGAGGAATGAAACATGAGCGCCCTTTGTAGCAAGAAAAACATCGTTTCGTCGGTGTAAGCTGATTGTCCGATACACAAAAAACGTTGGGATGAAAAACCGTTGCAACGGAGCTCGAAAGACACATAGTCAAGAGCAAAAAACTAAGAAAATTGCGGAGACCTAAAAACGTGGTAGCCATTATGGTGCGCATGACAACGAATGTTTGAATGAATTAATGTTTAAGAAAGGATCCAAGCGTGAACTAGGGAACTATCGACCAATACCAGTATTGCCACTCGTCTCAAAATTATTTCTTATTTATCGTCAACTTTATGATTACCTTCAGGATAATAGCCTCTTGAATACGTGCCAATCTGGCTTTCGATCAATGCACAGTACGCTAACAGCGCTGCTTGAGACAACGAATAACTGGTCAATTAATATTGACAACGGTCTCTTAGATGGCATGCTATTTATTGATCTTAAAAAGGCCTTTGATACAATCGATTACGAAATAATTTTGCGGAGACTCGCGAACTATGGGGTTGATCAAAGTGCTCTATGATATTTTGTGTCCTACTTATGTAACAGATCCCAAAAATGCAGTGTCAATGGAGCGTTATCCAGTGCAAGTAGATTAATCTGCGGGGTTCCCCGAGGAAGTATACTGGGACCCTTGCTCTTTTTAATATATATAAATAATCTTCCTAATTGCCTCGATATTTCCTGCGCAAAAATGTTTGCCGACGATACTAACATCACCGTCTCTGGTTGCACTTTTGCCGAACTCGAACAAGCAACAAATTCTGAACTTAACAATCTTTGCAGCTGGCTAAAAGCCAATAAGTTTAGTCTAAACATCGCGAAAACTGAGTTATAGTGATTAATACTCGTCAAAAGTTTCTTGCAGAAAATTGTAGTGAGATTAATATCCAATTAGGTGGCCATCCAATTTGCAGGGTTGAACATGCCAAATCATTTGGTTTAATTATTGATGACCGACTTTCATGGTCTAATCACATCAAAGAACCATGCAGAAAGATATCCTCGGCAATAGGTGCTCTGAGGCGCATTAGGTCCCTCATTTCTCAGTCCACTGCAGTACAAATATATAACGCTTTAATCCAACCTCATTTCGATTACTGTGCTCCCGTTTGGGATGGATTGAGTTCTTATCTATGTGAGAAAAACTACAAAAATTGCAAAACCGAGCAGCTAGGGTTATTCTGTAAGCCAACTGTGAGGTAAACTCAAGCCTGCTTCTTGAGACTTTGAAGTGGGACCAGCTATCATTAAGAAGAAGAAAGCAGAAAGCTATAATGATTTTTAAATCCCTCAACGGGTTAGCCCCAGTGTACTTGCATGATTTATTAAGTGAGCAACACACAGACTATGACTTGCGTGATTCTTTCCGTAAGTTAAACTTTCCCAAGCCGCGTACTGACTATTTGTATTCGTACTGACTAGCGGTGCCTTACTGTGGAATTCTCTTCCTGAGATTATTAGGGTGATTAGATCAATTGGATAGTTTAAGAAGGAAATCAACCGCGCACTTGAAACATTCGATTCCCACTGGGCAATCTTGTAAATCAGTTTTTATAGTTATTTTAATTTTTTTTACAAATGATTGTAATTAAAATACTATTAGTATAACTGAAGATTCTTAACCGAGTTTAAATAGAGATCTACTACTAAAGAATAATACAATGCAATACCAACACCCATAGAGGTCAGTGAGAATAATAATCAATCGCTGGGGGAGGAACATCAACGTACTCAGCTGTGGTTAATCCATAGCAACAAATACGAACGCTTTGAAGAAGGGCATATGCATATGGCAAATACATTTTTTCATTCTTTTTTTCTTTTTAGATTAATAAGACTGGAATCATTTATGATAGTCTCCAGTTAGGCAATAGAGGACTTTTCCCGTGTTACGTAGCCACGTATGAACACCGGGAGGGTTGGGAGAATTCAGAATAAGGCACGTTGTTAAAGGTCAATAGTCAGCAGACAAGGAAGGAATGTTTGTTATGGAAAGGCACATCAGCTGGTAGACGGAATAAATGGAAGTAAAATCACGCTTACATTGCCCTTTAACTTCGAACTTTCGTTAAAAACCTTTGCGGCGAACCACTTTTCCATTGTCAATGCTCAGGTTGTGCGTGTGGTGATTCCCTGATAATATACAATCACTCACGCGTTTCATAAGATCTTAGCTTTACCACTTAATTTCAATCCCTTACACTTAAACTACTAGCCTACGTATAGTTGTACCCTCCCCCCAGGTGAAACGGAAGCGCTTCCGTTCGCTATTAAACAACCAGTCGACAGAGTTTTTCTTTGGTTCTCGTTCAAGGAACATCCATCAGTTAAAATCATAAGGGATCAAAGCGAACTGCCCACCATTCGTTTACTTTTAACTTATTTTCCTGAAGATCTTGCCTTACTCTTAAGGCAGCAAAGTGTGTCTCTGATACGTAAGTAATTTAGTGTTAACAACTGAGTTGAAAACGCTCTGACGAGGGGCTAACGCTCGAAACGGTGGCCAATTTACGTTTTCAACTCAGTTGTTAACACTAAATTACCTACTATGCTCTCTCACCGACGCAGCACCACAGTTTCTTTAGAAACCTACCCGCTTTATCCATGTGTCTATAATACCCCCTATCGTGAGCCACTCCTGTTACACCGACACTGCATGGGGTAAACGGTCAGCCACCTCCAGCAGAATCCTTCAACGGTTACAAAATCGTGCTGCCCACTCTAAAACACTTTTGGTGTTTTAGAGTGGGCTTTATTAGAAATGAAACAGAAAAGACACAGGTTTTTTTTTTAACCCCAGTAATTATGAAACTACTTACTTTATTAGAAACTACAATGTACGTAGCTATGCCACTCGCAGAAGAACCAAAAGAAGATTTGCATCTGCTCAAACCGAAGCTAAACCTTGGGAAACGAACTTTTAAATATTCGGGCTCAGCACATTTAGAACACGGAGTCACTTTCTTCCTTTGAATTTTTAATGAATATTCACGATTTTTAATATTTTGTACTTTTAAGTTGTTGCATCCTGTATTTTTAAATTACTATCTATTGTATTTTTAAATTACTATCTATTGTATTTTTCAATTATTATACTTTTTAGTTCAGGGCCCCTTGGATACCAGCCTTACGGCTGATTGGGCCACCCTGGTAAAATAAAGTTGACCTTACTTTACCTTACCTAAGCCACGAAGGGCGTCATAACTGAGCTTCGCCCAGACTGCTGCTAATTTCTTAATGAGATTCGATCATTCGAGGATTTCGTTTAGCGCACGAATTTTAAATAATCATGAAGCTTGACTTGTTAAGGTCTCCGTATCCCATGATAGCTTTTTATTCGCGAGTATAAACACAAAAATATATTTTAAGACAGGTAAATAATCTCTTGACTTTCACAGAATAGAGGCGCGAAAAAATGAACTTGTCGGGAAATCTTCGTCACTCGTCGTAGGTCCTTGCTTACCTTCGTAGAGCAATCTAGCGTTAACCAATCAGAATCCAAAACGGTTAAGCGCAGTATTCGAATTTTGTTGACCACTGTTTGATGAAGGGGCATTTGTAAACTTTGGATATTCTTTTAAAATGAAGCATTTATCGTCTATCGATTTCAAGGACAATGTGCGATTCATCGTGAGAAAGGATCTGAAGGACATAGGCATCAAAGTACCGAAGCAGAAAAACTGTAAAGTTCAAGTAAGTCTGTTTTACAGCCGAGTTTGAAATTTCCGTTTAGTTCTTCTTCTATATGGCTCAATCAGCTTTGGAAATGTTTTTATTGATTCATTTATGTCATTGATACCTTTCCTCTTCAGCTAACGTTTACAAAGCTTAACTGTATGATATTTATTTTCCTTAAACCAGCCGGCTGACAAGCAGAATAGAAGCGGCGTATTCGGAGTGTGTCTGGAGAAAGTGACTTCTGTCAACGTTGGGAAGGATTTTTACTGCAGTGTTCCAAAGTAACTAGATGATATTTTTTCTGATCAGAACACTCAGGGGATAATATACACTTGTATTTTCAAACCAAAATTCATGGATATATGTATTTTTGATCAATAAATTCAGGATTTAACCATTAATTTACAAACCAAAAGGCTTATGATAAAACAAGAGAAAATATACTGTGTACATGTAAATAAAGCATTTAAATGTAGAAAATGTTATCCCCGCTTAAATTGATATGAGGCAATACTAGTCATGTCATAGTTAAAACAAACTATGCTTACGCACATTTTAGATTTTGCATTTATTGTATCTATAAATTATCAACGTTGTAACATCAGAATTTTTTCCCTCAGATTCGTGGTAGATTCTGCAAATTTTCTTCAGCAACATCTAGAGACAGAAGGACTCTTTAGAAAGTCTGGATCCATTCAACGACAAAAGCTGCTCAAGGTTAGTCTACTTGTGCATTGTTCCTATTAAAAAACTACATCACAGTTAAGGTGCTTATGATTTTTGTAAACTTTATGTATTTGGGGGATTTTTTTTTTTTGGCGCTTGTATATTGACATTGATTTACTTGAAACAGCTAAAGGCAGAAAATGGGGAAGAATTTCAAAATGTCCAACCTCACGATGTTGCAAGTTTGGTGAAGCAATTCTTCAGGCAGTTACCAGAACCATTATTGACCAATCAGCTCCACGACTGCTTCATAAAGGCACAGCGAAAGGAGGATCATGGTGACCAAAAAAAGGCTATCTTGCTACTTTGTCTTTTGCTTCCCATTGCACATCTCAATACATTGCAGTTTACAATGAAGTTCTTGGCCAAAGTAGCAAAGTGTTCACATCACAGTAAGATGGGAACCTCAAACCTTGCCATTGTTCTTACTCCCAACCTAATACACAACACAAAGAAAGAAGGCAACAGTGCCTCAGAAAAGCAACTAAAGGAGCAGACAGCAGTCATCGATATTATTCTGAAAAATGCTGAAGAAATTGGTTTAGTTAGCGAATGTATCTATGAACGTGCAAAGATGATTGGAGATGAGTTTGTTGATGGCATGACATCATCAGGCGATGAGCTTGATGTTGACGATAACTGGAAACGAGGCAACAAAAGGCAGTCAAGGGCAAGAACTAGAACTGGTTCACTCTCAGGTATGCAGCTTAGCTATGCCTAGTTTTTGTGTACTGGAGAAAAAAAATTTTTATAGCAACCATAGTATGAAAGACCCTGGGAGATCTTTAGACCTATCCATCATTTTGGAAGGTTTACCAGTACACTGTACCATTTTTCTTTTTTTGTCTCCATATCTTTTAATGGTTCAATTTTTATAATTATACGTAGGCTTTGTTTCTGGTCTGGGCCAAAGTCTTAGCAAGTTCAAGAATTCGTCATCTGCTAAAACACCAGTGCATACACACAGGCGTTCAAGGAGCATGAAAGCAGAACTAATGAGAAACAAGGTGAAATATAACCTTGAGGAAAATGTTTTGGATAAGAAATCAGGTAACCTGATATTATTTGTTTGACTTACCTACCTACTGACTGAGCTCTATACTGGGTACAAAGGCTGTTAAATAATTGAGTTCATACACAAACCAGCTTGTATAAAGAAAAGCAGACCCACTAAAACTGTCTCTACATTTATTTAAATCTTCAGAGGTAATGCCATACTATAGACATAAAGAATAATACACAGGTGTGCAAAGTTATGGAATATCTCTTGAAGTGTTCAACTTGACACCACAAGAGTGATGCAGCAAACAAGTGAGATGTCAAGTTGAACACAAAATCACTAAACTCCTTTACTATTTCTTTTCATTATGGAAAGTCCAAAGCTGCAACTTAAAACTGTTTATTGTCTGCTTGTCAGTAAATTCAGGTGTACTTAAAATGTAAAATTATGTGTATTATCTAGTGTTCTTATAATTAATTCACAAATTTTATGAAGTGTGAGGTGATGCCCTAAACCATCAGCATACTGTAGGATGTTTTTCTTTTTTGATCCATAGATGATCTGGAGTTAGAGAATTTTGTGGCTCACACCAACCAAAGGATGAGCCTGAGGCTTTATAACAAGCGACGGCCAGCAGATCAAAATATCTGTTCTGCTTCACCTGCAGTCAAGAGGTCATTACTTCATGTTCACAATCCACCTACATGTTTGATTTTTTTGTTAATCTAATAGGTTAAACCTACTGACATTGCATTGTTTGGGATTTTAATGATAGTCAATTTTTTTTAAACTGTGGGTAGTGATTGACTTGTTGCAGTTAATTTTTTAGTAGCTGACTTTAAAAACTGGTTTACAAACTTTATTAGGCACTATTAGAAAAATAAAATGCAGTAAACCAATAAACAATAAACACTCAGTCATTAAACAGCAGTGGTATTGTAGGGTTGTGGAATTTGATATGTATTTCATGACCACAGGGTGTTGCAATTCACATGATGACATTTTTGCACTTTTTCATTTTCTTTCTATTCCCTTCAATAACATGCACACTCTCAGGTGCAGACTTTGCAATCTGCTTTTCATGTTGCTAACAACTATTAAAATGTAGTGTAATTCTCATAACAGACTTCTAGAAGCAGAGAGAAATGCATCTTTTTGAAAACCTTTCAAATGATGCACCTTTTTTCCCAAAAGATCAGTAACATGAATGATAGCAGTGTCAATAGAATTGTCTATGAACCATCTCCAACTTCTAACTTTGTGAGTTGTTGGAAGATGCACTTGATGACTCGCAGTTAGCTTTTCAATTGATCTGTGTTTTGGATGCAGACGAATGATGAATGATGTGAGCAATATTCAGGGAATCAGCAACCCACGTCTTGTATCAGCCTCCACCCAGATGTTCACCACACCTATTAAACCACTCCAGGCTTCTTTAAAGCCTCTTAGTGACATGGGTAGGAGTTTTGTCCAGAATATTGTTAGAATGTTAGTGGTACTTAAAGCACCATGATATTCATTATTTCTCCTTTAAAATGACCTGTATGCAACAACAATTATTGAGAATGAGCTGAAACTTTCTAGTATACACTTTATCTGTCAATTAACCAGTAATAGGGAAATAAGTTGACCCACTGTTCTTTGGAGATTTCTGAGAGGCCAACCATGAAAAAAGCAGTAGCAAGCAAAGATTAAAATTTACATCAGATCAAGACAGGTTTTGAGCTGTTTAGCAAAATATAGGTGGACAGCACTTCAAAAACAAGAAGCTAGTGACAAGTACATGAAGCAACACATTTAGTAAAATCAGTCAAATCATGGAAGCCGACTGCAGTAACTTAACCCATTACTGTCAGCTCAGGCACTTATAGAGCAAAGTGTCCTGCATAGCACAGAACATGACACTTAAAATCCTAATGATAAGGTTATTGTAACACTTTTAGTAAAGCTAAAGTAGAAATTTTTTTTTTCTCCAGTAAAACCTGGTCACAGTAGGATATTGCCATCAAATGAGACAGAGCATGTGAAAGTTGTTGATGCTATGTCCTATGTGCCCTCTCCAAATGATAAGTATCTTGGAACTCATTGCCTTGCATCACCTGGTATAAGTATGGGTTCAACTGACATGTCAACAAGGCATGGTGAAGTGTTTGAATCCTCTACAGCTGCAGCTGACAAGTACAAACAGTTTGCATCACCACGTAGAAGGGTCAGAAGACGGTAAGACTTTACTCTGTCAATTGTTTTCCTTGTACGTATCATTATGAATTTTAAATACACTACCAGTTATTGGCCTTTCATAATTAAGTAACAACCATCAGAATCTCCCAGCAACTTGGGTCATTCATACAAGCTATTGTGCTAGGGAAAGAAAGTATTAATATAGTTTACATACCACACTGTAGAGAAGACAAATTTATCTCCCGAAACATTATTAGAAACAATTTGAATATCCAACAATGGAAAAGAAGTTCATGTTATTTCTAAGTTGCATGACCCATATTGTAAGAAACTATCATGATGAATAAAGTTCTGATGTTGTTGTTTGCTTACATGTTGTTTCTCAATAAATTTATCTAGTTAGCATAATAACAAAGTAATTTGCATATGAAATGCAGCAAGGTTTGTATTATAAGAAGGTCAACCTTAGCCTCACTCTTGTTCAAAGGCTTGGCAACGAAGTGCACAAATGTAAAATGGACTATTGTACTCAAAATTAAAGAAAAATAAACTAGTGTGGGCTACCTTGATATAATTCATATGTTATCAAGGCTGCCCATTTCCAATAATATTATTAATTCTCTCTTAACAATTTTTAAGGCATTCATCAGGTGCAACAACTTGCTTCTCATCCTCTCCAAGGAACAGATATCAAGCAAGCTCTAAGAATTCTGTGAGTTACTCATAAAGGTATTAATTACAGAAGTTATGGGGATGGTTTTTTCCATATGATTGTGGTGGACCAAGCCAGCTCATTTTCTAAGAATTTCCATCTCTCTCCCCATTTTTAAGTGATCCTGTCAGCACAAGGGGTGGCCAGATTACTGACTGACTGATACCATGGTTAAGCAGAATTTTTTTTTTACCCTTCAGCTCAGTCATTGGAAGACTGTGAGTTTCCAATCTTGGTAATCAATCTTAAGTTTGCCAAACCATGCGCAACAATTTTAGCTTCCATTGATAACTTTGATGAAACGTAGATGGTTAGGGGTATTTTAAATTTATTACAATTACATGTAATGTTATCAGTATTAGTGACATATTCTTTAGGCTTTATCAATGTTATTGTCATTGAATTACTAAAATTTTTGCTAGGTAGCAAAAGAGTTAGCACACGGCAAGCATTCTTTACTCAGCCCTACCTCATTGCCAACAGATGGAATGGATATCAGTCACATTTCAGTTGCTGCTACTGTGGAGCCAGTCAAAGAAAACACTCCTAAGACTCGTGTTCTTTACTCAGGAACAGCTTTGCTTAAAGAAAATACTAATCTAACACCCTGTAAATTCCACCGTGGAACCCCTCCCATGCCAGTCAATAATAGTGAGCTTCGAGAAGTGCTGTCTCAAAGGATTTAAAAGATGAGTGTCAAATAATCTTGTTTAAACTATGAGTGTCAAATAATCTCATAAACCCATGACTTATATTGTTGTACTTAATGACTTCAAAATTTTGTCCACAAAAAAATCCATTTACCTGCAATATTTGAATAGTCTTTGAGAGGGTTTCATTTGAAAAAGTGAAGTTTATGACTACAACCAGTGAAGAACATCCTGAAGATTTGTTGAACATTACTCTGCCTGTACATGTTTGATCACAGGTTTCTATTACTCTTATTCTCATCTCAGAGGCAGGGAATGTGAAGAGCAATGAAAGGTGTTCTTCATTTCATTGAAAAACAGGGACCAGGAAAAAATATGATCCCTTCACAAGAAATAAAACCTCAGACCTGAGATGAGGTGTTTGATTCCTAATAAGGGACTCACTTTTTTTCTCTGTCCCATGTCAATAACAAAATGAATTATATCTTTCTTTATTACACAACTGATCTCAAAATTTACCATTTTCCTCGTTCTAGTTACTCACAAAAACAATTAAAGTCATTGAAACATACAGCGGAGTTTTGATTAAGGGTAGAAATCACAAATCAAATGCAAGTAAGGATTAAATCTTGTGGAAGTGCTGCTTCTACTGAAAGATGAGGTAATTTCTTGATTGGTTTGATTGGAGTATCTCTTTCACTCCAACAAACCAGAGATTAAGCCATGGCCACAGGGCTGTAAGAGATGATAAATATCACAAATCATTGGTTGTGGAAGTTCATATCAAGTAGTTATCCAGATAATAACTGTAAAATTGTATAATTAGTAATTGTCAAATTGTTTAAAGTACATTTTTTTAAAATTAATGTCAGTAGATTTAAATGTATATCAGAACTTCAAATGTTCAATTTTCTTAATAAAGAAGTCATCACTTATTGTGCACTTGCTGCTCCAACATTCATGGGATTGAGGCTTTGATAACAAACATTCTGCTGTATGTAAAATAAACTGTTTAAAGATCAATATATTGAAGGCCTCCAGTTCTTTTGCCCAAAACATGGATTTTTCCTGGGGATCTAAAGAAAGATGCATCTATAATGAATGACCTAATGTGAAAAAAAAATCTTGGTCATTAATCTCACAAAAGTAATTGTTTTTTCTAACTGATATCTTTTATAAAAATCTTGTGAAAGAAAAGTAAAAAGGGATGAACTAACCACAGCAGTTGGAGAGGCAGGAAAAGATGCATCTAATACCAAACCCAGGTTTATGGTATGCAATCAAAACTTGGTCAATCTACATTATGAACTCAGTTGATAAAACAAAATTATCTTGGGATACCCCCCTCCCTCTACTGATGCAGCACCAGTTTCTCTACAAACTTAACTCCTCCCTCTTCAACTTAATTAACCCTCTCCAGCCCAAGAGTGCTATATGGCACAGAATGCCATTACATGCTTAACAATTAATCATTTGTTCTGAAATTTTCACAACCAAAAGGAAAGATCTGCACATCAAAGGCATAAAACTATGGCCCCTCAATTATAAGAATTGATTTACCACACCTACAACTTTTGGAACTTTTTGTCTTTGTACTGTAGTTCAGGTGATATCTCACCACAATCAATGCTCTGAGAGCAGCACTTTAGGCTATAATTTAGTGGTATACCCCATAAGTACAAGGCAAACTAAAAATTTCAACTTTTTTTTAATTTTCACTTTGGAAACTTCTCAGTCTCTTCAGTTACCTCCTCCACACCTGTTGGTGTCCTTTATAACACACCCCTAAAAATACATATAAAATTATATAATATACATGGTCTAGTGGTTCATCATTCTCATTTTAGAAAAAATTGACATTTCCCTCAGGCAGGAAGTACCAGAAAAGTGAGTTAGTCTGAACATTGAACTGCTTACTGAAAATACATCAGAGACCAATTAAAGATACTGAGCATCTGAAGCCTAATAGAAAAGCCTCTTACATGTAAAAACTTTTAAAACAAAGACAAAAGTGATTAAAAAACAAAACAAAAAGGTTTTGTAATTCCAAAATAATGGCAAACCTTTCTTAATTTTGTCAGAGAGCCCAGAAAACCAGCCCCCCCCCCAAAAAAAAAAAGAAAAAAAAACAACCAAACAAATGCTATAAAAAATGAAATTACACAATCTCTAACCATATTTCTCTAGACAAAAAGAAATTCTTATATTTTAAAAAATTATTTTAACCAACAATCCTAAGCATTAGCATCATCAACAAGTCTTGCCACTTAACTAGACACTGTGCCAAAAATAAAGGAATTATGGCAACTCTAACATTCTGCTGCAACCCTTCAATTTCCCTTCAAATCCTTTACTTTCTTTGATTTATTCATCCATTTTGAAATCACTGATCATTGCAATCTGATTGGCTCTCAGATGAGTAATTTACCTTTAAATTGTACCTCTTTTGCTCTAAATCTCATCTTCTCCCTCAGCAATAAATAAGGAACATTGAATCAAAATGAACAGTCAGACTTCAAGGCTTGTTTTAAGTAATCAATCTTATTGCAGGAAAATGATGAGTATGCTTTCAAATTGAACTCCACTCAGTTTAGTTTACCATAACTTATTAAAACTGCATGGGACAGATACCTTAAATCAAGTGGACACTGGCCAGAGTCCCACTAGTTTTCACTTCACAGAGGTTTCCCTGTACAAATACAGTAGACTGTTCAACTGTCAACACAGTTGATTTTGCAAACAAGGGACAGCAACAAGAGAAAGCTATACTTGAATACACATTCACAAAGCCATTTTTATTTTCTTTTTTCTGCATTTATTGTGCTTTCTTCTAAGGACATTTACAAGGTGTAATGGTGTTTGGTCTGTTACATGTCATCACATAGTAAAATTAGAACTCTGATTTTCTGAAAAAATGACCAGCTACAAATTTTTAATAATTTTCTTGTGCATTATACAGAAAGTGAAGTCTTTAATTTACAAATACTATTCTAACTGCTGGAGCATCTGAAGTTGCTTTAGAACTTTGCTTTGACTGGTCTCTCTGATCTCCCCAGCTAAAAACATCTCGTCAACAACAGAATATACCTGATACCAAGATTGAAACAATATAACCAGATTAGCAACCCAGGAGAAAAATGGCATTTTTTACGCTTAGTCTTTGAAGATTTCCATCAATATAACAGGACTGTCTTATTAAGCATGATATCATAGTCTTAATTGCCCATGCCCAACCACATGATTACAAGCCTTGTATAAAAACACATTTTTCAAGGTATTCCCAGCAGCTGGTACATTGGGCTATTGGGAGAGTGAAATGGGCATATGGGCTCTTGCCCCCTTGAAAGGTTGTGACTAATTTTAAAATATCTTATGCTTCAAGAAAGCATTCTATCTGGGTTTCACTTTAATCGATGAAACTCTACACCTGTCCATTTCAGGCAAAGAGCAATTTGTGCATTCTGCTTATAAAAGTGTTTACATCTTTATTCTGTCGAAATAATGCAGTTTCTCTATACATGAGTAAATGAAAAAAACAAATAATTACATGCAAACACTTTGGCCATAAAGAGTTCTACAGTTCTACAATATTTTCAGCAAGATATTAAAGCATTTTTCCAATCAGGTTTACCTTGTAGAAGTTAAACACCAAGTCCAGTTCACAAACATTATGGAAGAATTCATTTAAGACCTGCAAAATGATGAACAATGTCATGTTTGTGGTTTATGGTTATCACATGTAGAACTTACTTAAGGACACTGTGTGTGTCCTTAAAGATCCTATTGTTGCAGCAATCAGAATAGTATCATGTATATTGAAAGTTACAAGAGAAGTTTAAGCACACCCCCATAAGCCCAATGACAAGCACATCACTTTAACATCTGCCACTAAGTGACAGTTGCTGAACTTGACCATAAGGTTGGGGAGAGACACAAACAAGACGAAAAAGTGGCAACCCTCCAAATAGACTTTTTCTAAATATAATTGTAGCACTACCTTCACTATTATACCACCCAACTAATTAAGGAGTTTTGATTTTCAAGTTTTGCTTATAAACCAGAAACTGTTGAACATTACAGTGGTAGTACAGACTGAGGCAGCATGGCCAAGTAGTTAGGACAATAGGTTTTTAATCTGGCTGCCCTGAGTTCAACTCCTTGGCTGTGCTTGGTATATAGCCAACTGGTCTACTTCCAGCCAGTTGGGAGTTTTAAACTCTATATTTATTCTTTCATTTATTTATTCATTCATTCGTTCATTCATATTAGCCTTGAAAAGGCCTATTGGGGAAGAGGTCAGTTAAGTGGACATACATATATACATACACACAAACAAAACAAGGAGAAATTACTTTTATCTTACCTCAACAAAATTATGAATGGCCTCTAAATAATACAAGTTGTTATCATGCACATCCACACAGAAACAGAAGTAAAGCCCAGCATAACGACGATATACAATTTTGAAGTTACGAAACTACAAGAAAAAAAATTGATATTGTGTTGCAGTTATATATCTTAGCTTGATTATCTTAGGCTTCAACGGACACTGATACTGGAAATTTAGTAATTCTAGAGACAATTTTCCACAAATTCCACTGGGGGTCTTATTTAAGCTATTTTAATCAATCAATAACATCAAAGAATGTGTATCATGACTACTTCATAAATGATGCGAGCATTATGATGACATGTGAGAATGAGCTCCGAATTTTTCTTGATATTTTCTGGCAATCACTCAGTTCAGTGTTCAGTCCCAAACACCAACAAGCAAATGACTGTTCAGCCTTTGACTGTTTCAATGAGCACTCAAATATTCAATTTTTCTTGATTACTTAAATTTCTTCGAATATTTGTTGAAAGTGAAATGAATTAAATCCGTAGATGAGCTAAACAACGGGTAATTTGCACGAGCAGCGAGGATTTTTAACTCAGATCAGCGTTTTCAGTCTACAGCCCACAGGTGTAAGACTCGCACTCCAGAGTTAGTAACTTGTTCCTCGATCAAACAGCGTGGAAGTCATCATAAGACACTGACAAACAAATAGGCACACTTCTCATAACGAGCAGCAAAGGGAAAAGTCCTCAGGTTCTCATAGCGTACCTCTACAAAGTTCGTGTGCTTTGCATCTCTCACAGTCACCAATGCGTGAACTTCTTCAATAAGTTTCTGTTTTTCATCATCGTCAAAGTTCATGTACCATTTCGCCAGCCTTGTTTTACCTGCCCTGTTTTGGATAAGAATAAACCGAATCTGCAAAACAAAACAATAAAATACTTTCGAGCTCAACTTTTACGCAAGTATAAATGTATGAGGTTTACTAACCATGGTCAAGTGGTAACCCTGGCAAAGATGGCTGCCAAGCAGAACTGACTTACCGCAAGGTGTTATGGGTTGGTCAGAGAGTCTATTCACCCTCACCTCTTCCCGAGATAGGTCTAAACCACGTTCAATTACGGCCACAGGGCGGCATTTATTTCAGAGACATATACTCGAGTCTTTGTCATCAACTATGGTAAAAAATTTGTTGCAAAACTTTTTGTGAAATACAAAGATTACTGAGTTATGCTGCGCTTGTCGTTTTCCTTTCTCAAGATCAAAAGAAACCCTGCTTTCTTCGTCTTCTTATGATGGATGCGACGTTCATTGGCAGATTGCATCCATCTCTGGCGTTTTTTCAAGAGCGGCGTCAAATCGAGCGACTATCTACAGAATTCCGCTCTAGCCACCTCTAGTTTTTACACACAAATACAGCGGGTTTGCTGGAGGTTTGGCGTGGTTTCGGCATGGTTGTTCCCAGTAGTTACTGCCTAATCTTCTTGCGGCTTTGTCACTCCCTTTATGCCGCTAAACATAACGCCTGAGTTACATCGCCACCAAGGGCAATTTGACTCTCAGTAGTGGCGAGTTTGGTGGTGGCGATTTTGATGGTGGTAAATTGGCCGGAAACCGACTTTGGGCGAGATGACTTTCGAGCGACTTGACCAGTTACTGTCCTTATAATCGAAAGCATCGCACACGTAACCGACCGTTGTAACTTGCAGAGATCAACTTCTATGTATAATTTACTAACGATAATTCCCCAAACATACATGACGTTTCTGTGACGAAATCTTTCCCGATGAAGGCCAAATCCGTTACAACAAAATATGCACCATTCATTTACTTTTAAACCCTGATTAATCCTGTTAAGAGATGTAAGACTCGAAATCCGTTATCATTCTGAAATCTTTTACGGCTTTAACCAGTACCCACAGCCAATCAATAACAAAGAAAAAACTATCAATAGCTTATTTACACTCACACGAAAGATCAAACGTGTCTTGAAGCTGTTTTTTTAACAGAGCCTAAAGTTTTCCTTCGTAGAAGCTGCTTAAACCGATTTTTGTCGACCTCAAGTGTAACATAAGAAATAAAAGTTGGCGATTATTTGAATCCTTCGAAAAATCCAGTTTTTTCACTTCTGTTTCTGATTTTCATTCAGTTAAACCCGGTTTTACTAAACATGTTTTGCTGGTGTGACAGGGGTATTGGTCATTCATGTTAAGTACAAACAGGCACCGTAAGGCATTGGGTAACACTTTCAAACTAGTGAAGAATGAGATTTCGCACGTAACCTTGTGTGTTAAACCAGGAGAATTTTTCCATACCATTTTGAACGTTTTTCCGACTCAAATTGGAGTCAAATCATATGAACTTAGCAGAAAAGTGGTTGTCAATAATTTGTCTCAAAATTGAAAAGATTTCCTTTACGGTTGGATACAGTTTTTACCAATTTAAACACATTTTACCTGAAATCCAGATGTTTTTACAAAGATCTCATTCAGATAAGATCTCCGGGTTTACAGTTAGTTCGCTACCACACAAACTCGCCATCACTGGGGGTTAACTCGCCACTGGCGGCGATTTGACTCAAACGTTATGTGTAGCCAGTCGTATGATGTTTTTGCATTGCAAAAAGGGAAAGCGACTCAAAAAATTATGTGTGGCCTCTCAATTGTAGCATGTTAACCGTTAAATGCGACATGAAATATCCATCACATTGTACAGCCTCTAAGCGCGGATGCACCTCAAAGCCGCATGTGATTCAAAGATATTTAAAGACGATTTTCCAAAATTTCCGTTGAGTAGTGATGATTTGAAAGAGTTGTGTTTTTAACGATCTCAGAATAAAAACCATGCCCCTTTATTACCCAAGACGGATCCAAATCTACGGATAAATTAATTATTTAACGAATGCGGCAATCAGAGGAAACATTGCTAACATGCTATTTACTATTCTAGTACACTGTGTTCGTTTCACATCTTTAAAACCAAAATTTAGTTAACCTTTGAGATCTAACCTTTTATAAGATATGCGTTTTATTAGATTTAACGGTTAACGTGCATAATTGAGAGGCTACACATAACTTCTGGGTCCTTTCCCCTTTTCGCAATATACTACTACATCTTAGCCTTCATTTAATTAATGCAAGGTTCATACGAGAAGCTACACAAAAAGTTTAAGTCAAATCGCCACCGGTGGCGATTTGATTCTTAGTGGTGGCGAGTTTTTTTGTGGTGGCGAATAGACCGAATACCAATCTCCATATCTTTTTAATTCAGTTCCTTTAAGACTTGTTTTAGGTCTTCATTATTACCTTGCAACTTTCCCATCTTAAAAAAAAATCGAACCTTGTTGCGTAAGAGCGACTTATTATTCATAGCTGGACTCAGTATATGCATGTTAACTGATGATTTATGAAACTTGTAAAATCTTATCAATCAACCAATCACACACAAATAAAAACCAAGCAATGTTGGGTCACCAATGATTGGCTAGGTGTATTACTTTATTTCAAATGGCAACTGATTGTGCTTTTTAGATGCTCAATGAAAAATCACTCCATGTTTACAGCATAACATTAAAATCTGTACCCTACATTTACTGTGACATACTCATTAAGTGCTACGTTACGTATCCTGAAATAAGACATGAAAAAAAAAACCAGTAAAGAATAGAAGTTTTCTACAGGCCTGAATACCACAGTTGCATTTTTTTCAAACACGTCACTGTACATTATTTCTGTTGAGTGATCACAGTCAAATATATTCCCAACAACTGGATTGGTCATAAAACCTGCTACACATTGCATTGGAGAGCGAGTTAATAAGGGGCTTACTTTGTAATCCTTAAGTTATTTTACTAATACTGTTGCTGCCCACAGTATCTTAACGGTTATAACATTACTTGATTAACATGACAACAGACTTCAGTTAACATTTAGAATCCAGAAAGCTTACTAACATTACAACTGAAATCTGCAGCTTTATATTGCTGCAATATAAACTTCTTGTACATCTAGTCTATTAGCCTGAAGAAAGTACTGAAAAGCTTAACACTCTCAAAAATTTAAAATTGACTCCTCAGTTCCTCTTCTTCTTTGAATCCTGTAAAATGGGAACATGGGACCATCAATTACGGTTGAAGTATACTCAATTACCTCAAAACTAAACTCTTACAGTTTTAAAAGGGTCCCATGGTAACCCTCAAGAAAGAGGTTGATAAAGCGTGTCAGCTTTCCAAACTTGTCATCATGAGATAGTTATCAGAATGGTGTTTCACAAAAGATACATTAAAGGGTAGTTTACACAAAAATGTTCCTTTCCTCAAAATAGAGGAAAAAAATCAGAGGCATGGGTTTGAGAAAAGGTTGGAGTATCTACCTCACACCCCTAATCCATATGAAACTCTAGCAATAATATCCCAGCTATAAAGGGAAAAATCCACAAGGCTTCATAGGAATACTAAATCAACTATACATGACAGCAGTAATAAACATTTTCAGTGGCCAAGGTTATTGTCTAATATACACTACTGCTCAAGACTCAAGCATTTCCATCACATGCCATAAATAAACAAACCAGCTTACCTCCTTTTGAGCAAGGATTATCATGATCCTACGGAAGATTTCTATGAAGTCCAAAAACAAGTCAATGGAGTGCCTGGATAAAAGAACAAGTTGAATTCAAAAGTTGTCCATCAAATAAGTGAATTCTTTAAATTAAAAATAGGACCAGGAAATGCAGCATATTTGGAAGTGGAAATATGCTTACCACAAGAAGTCCTTGTCTCCTTGTTTGTGCTTATGCACAATTAGCTGAGTGTCATAGAGCACAAAGCCACAGAACAACACCAAGCCACCATACAACTGAATCTGTGGTAAGACATGTCAAGATTATGTTACCACATTGTTTCTTAATGCCAAAAAGTCAGAAATCAAAATAGCTAAGCTCAGTGCCTAAGAGGAACAATTATCCAAAAAAATTTATATCATCTTGATAAATTTCTGTGACCAAAATTGCTGCCTGCTTTGCCTTCTCTTTACACATAGGTCATAATGAACACCTATTTTTTGAAAGCTTGAAATATGGGTTTCAAATGACCTTCCACCAAGTTGTCAAAAAACCATTTGCACTGTGATCTTGAAAAACCTCAACCAAGTCACCTAAATTTACAGTACACTCAATTAATCATTAAACAAACCTGGAAAAAAAAACGTGCTCCAAGAAACAGGTTGGCCAACGACAGGAAACAGAGCATGCTCAAGCAAGACATGAGAGTACCTACAGGAAAATAATCAATGCCTCATACAATAAGTTAATAAACATATGGTTTCCAAGATGAAGAGTAGACACTAGTCTTATAACAAAAAGTAGTTATTTGCAGTAACTGTGGAGTAAAAAACTTAGTAACTGTTTTCAATTGACTTCAGTGACAGCCCTGAAGAGACACAACAAAAAAGTCTCACCTCCCAGATAGAGAAATTTTCGTTCCTCTGCCCACAGGGCACTCAAAGTGAAGCAGACAAAGATCAGTGTGGTGGCAAAGAAAGCAGTAGGGATAATGCTGAAAATGAAACAAAACAAAACAAATTGAACAAATGTTTGCTATGTACTTTGTGTCATGATTATTCCAATAATTATGTCAAAATCTCTAATATGCCAGGGACCATGAAGTTTTAAAACAAATTAATGTGTCTTTGGTCTAAAAATTATAATAAAATAATTTACCAATCAACCCATAGCAATTTAAATTAAAGTTTAACCTTGAGGAGTAAATAAATACCACAGGTTTGTAGTATTCAAGGTTGACTTTAGGGTTTTCAAAAATAAACTAAAAAGAGGGGAAAGAGGAAAGAAGGGATGGAAAAGTTAAGTACAAAGTGATTGTTCCTTCAGAAGAACAACATGAAAAAGTAAGATGGAAAACTAACCTTGCATCAATCTGTATCACATTGTCCATCAGAGGTCCAAGACCCAATCCTGAAACAAAAAGACAGACAGACATACTTAGCTTGTTGCACTATCAAAATAAAACCATAGTTGATTACTCATTTTTAACTCGAGGATGAAGCAGGTCTATTTCAGAAAATATTTAAAGGTTCCTGAATGTAGTACAGTTGAATACCACGACAAACAGCAACATGTTCTGTTGTAACCTAAGATTACAAAAGGTTTGTTTTCTCCATAACCCTACAATTGTGCTCTAGGCTAGAAGTTTTGGGTTTAGATATAGTCATCTTGTGAAAGGTCTATACTATTTGGTTTTTAAATTTTCTCATTCTTTAATTTTACCACAATCTTTACCTGTGCAAAATGCAAATCCCATCAGGATACCTGAAACAAAAATTAAGAAATTACAGCATGAAAGCATGATAAAACAATAAATTGCTGTAAAGCCTTTCTAATATGGACACCTAAGGGACAATTAAGGTGTCTGAATAAGGAAGGTGTCCTAAGGTTTATGAAGGTGGCCACAAGACAACACTGACACAACTCTATGGACTAGTTTAGAGGAACTGATCCAATTGTAAATTGGAGAACTAGTTTGACTGCTGAGAATAATACACTAATAAACTAAAGAAAGTGTGTTGTTTGAAACCTATACCATGATTTTTATTTGTGTTGCATAGCCATCTCCTCATATGAGTGTAACAACAGTGTAACACTGTAATAATGTGGCCAGTGTTTTTAAGGGAACTCTTGTTAGACCTTCCTCTTTGAATTCTCCATTGAACATGGTGTGGTTTTGAAAAACAAATCAGTTAAGGAACACTGAAAAATAACATAAGCACTGTCTCTCTTTTCTGCTAAAATATATTTAGAACCTTGAAATCCTCAACAGGGCGTGAAATTGCGCCTAATACAGGCGCCAATGCGCCTAAATTTTTCACTTTGGCGACCAAATCCTGAAAGTTAGTCGCCAAATTGGCGACTAGAACGTTTCATCATAATCTTACCAAGAGATATAGTGAATTAAAAAGATTTGTGAAGATAAATCCGCAGCAAACTTCCTCGTTAAGTTTGTTTACAAAATGTAGCACATGCATCTCGATCGATAACTAGACACCATCTTGGATTTAGATGAGCCTGAACGTTGTATATCATCCATCCTAGTGTCCACTTTGTAGCACGTTAAAGATCTTTTCCCTAACTTAATTTTGGAGGGTCTATCTAGAACGCTGACAGCGTAAAGAAAGATTTTGTTTGTCAACTTTTTTTGAATTGGCTACCACTTTGAAGAATTTAGGAGCCAGGTGGCTATCAGAAAAAAAAGTTAATTTCACGCCCTGCTCAAGATAAACTAATCCCCTAACTAGAGGAAGTTTCTTCCTAGGTACCAAAATATGTTGTTTGCTGTTTAGTAGTGAATATCAAATCACACCCCCATAGGACACAGTCATGGTAATATTCTCTAAACTTAACCATTCAATATCATTAATCAAGACATAACGACACAGCACACAGTGGTTACATCAGTTCTACAAAAACCACAATAGTTCCTCAAATTCCCTTAATGAAGTTAGTTAGATGCGTCATGTCTAAATTTTTCTCAAAATCTCTTTTGAAGTTAACTGAAAATCTTCACCCAAAAGAAAACAAAGGCCTGCAACCTTCTAGCCTTCTAAATTTTAAATGTGGGTACCACTACAGTACTTCTCATGTGCACTGCAACATTACATGAACTTAATGTAAATGGCATTCTCATACAATGCACTTGCATGACATGCACACTTTGTGTCATTACACGAACATACATGCATGCATACATGCATGTTCATGTGAATCAATCAACTAAACCACAATAAATGTATGTTCTGAAACAAAAGAGCATATGAGACAGAGATTGGATTTGATTTCTTATGGCCATGGGCCATTAAAATTAAGCTGTACCACATGCTGCTTCTGGGATTCATTGCCTGGCAGGTGACCAAATTCTGCCCGATTTTTTGTTTACTAAATGTCATATGCAGAACATGCAATAGTGGCCTGTTTTACATTACATGGACCATCTTTAAAAGGTCATCCCCAAAGTTACTGCCTGTGAAGGAAAAGCCTCCAGTCATTAAGCAAGGTTAGATTACTGTTGAAAAACATGTTGAAACCAATAATTTATGGATTTATCATTGTCTTTTACAATTCTCTAGTCGAAGATGAAATTAAACTTGTTGTGACCTCAAGAATATTTGCACTCTACCATCTATATATTCATTCTTTACATCTTCATGTTGCAAATACAAACAAATATTAACAGTAACAGAATGTCTGCCACAACTTAGATCTGTTTGTGAAACTATTTCCCTACCTTTGTGCATTTTGACTATTAAGTTTTCTAACATGTTGCATTAAACAAATCCATCTGTACTAATTAACTAAAAAACAGTTCTTGAAGTGAATATTGTTTGAATGATTAACTTTGCATTTTTGCATAGTAGAAATACACTTCAGAATCATTAGTTTGAGTGAAATACAAATTCCCACAGCAAACACATTAATGTGAAAGAGTGCATACATTTGTATGTATTGAAATTGACAAAGAACAAACTAAAATACAAGCATCTGTTGACTTGCCTATAATTTTTCTACTGCCTGCATGTAATTATATGCACTGAAAGTTTACATAATTCCCACACATTACATACACCTGGGGGTGCTACAGTAAATGCAAGCCATACTGTACATATCAAATGTTCTGATAAGTGTGCTGCTTTGCTTTACTGCACAACTATAATTAAAGTTTGCAAACGACTTTTTCTCACCCATTCTTTTATTCTGATTCTTTCCATCATATGGGGTCAAGCCCAATGCAATCAGAAGGCCAATGGAAGCAATGGCTGACAGAAATCCACCCTGATAAACAGGTAACAGAGTAAACAACTGTTCATAACTATGTACTGACAGAGTTGGAGGGAAGGATGGGAAAATATTTTGTTTGAGGTCATGACGTACAGAACAAACACAGTGAGGTCTGTGCTTCATGACCAGGAGCCAAACATTTTTTCTGGCCAGCCTAACCAGATTCGGTCATAGGCATTTTTTCATATGACCACTTCTGAAATTATGTTTCAACCTAAATAAGATGCGGGACAACCACAAACAAAAAATGTTCTAATAATGAAAATTTTCCTTTGTTTCTTCCAGTCAGAGCCAGAAACTTAAAATCTATTGAAAATGCAGCTGTTCATTCCACTTCTTCTTTTTCCCACAACAAAGTCATGCTACACTGCTTTTTTCAGACCAGTTTATGTCCACATATCAGGCCTTTCACACGTCAGCATTCACAGTGGTTTTCTATGGGATTGAGTGCGCAGGGCCATGTGGGTCATATTACAAAATTAGTAATTATTTGTAAAGAACAACCAACCCATCCAAGAGGATAAGTAATACGCCTCACCATTCCATGCTACAGAAACTGGGATACGCTTAGCAAGTTACAGATTTTACAGGGCTTGTAGAATGCTGGCATGGCTTTCTTTCCTTCTTAGTTCTTTACTTCAAGACATTGACATGGAGTACCTTCAATACATCTGTAAACAGATGCACTCCACTTCCAACAGCTGCAATAAGCATGGATAGAGACAAGCAACCATACACCTTCTTCAAGTGCTGACGTGTAGGCTGGTCACTGCAAAGAATATAAAAAGTCCAACCATTTCAAAACAGTTGCTGATACATAACAGGATAGTGTTCATTGTGATACTGCATGTGTCTCTGCCCCTTCATGCCATATTTAGTCACATTATTTACCACTGTATAATCAGCCTGGTACTTTGACTGGCATTGGATGACACTCACAGAATAAAGCAGGTGATTAAACAAGAAAAAATTCCTCTGTTTCCTTACACAAAATTAGATAATTTCCTATTTTTTATTTTTTGCTGACAAATGTATCTATTGGTTCTCATGATTCCACAGTGCAAGCCATGAAGATATTAAAATGGCTTAAGAATTTAAGAAAACTTAAAATGATTAAGTGTGATGATTGTTTGAATCAGAGGCTAGGCTAGTCTACATGAGAGTGCAAATTTTAAAGGGTTTATATTGTGGAACAAATCAGGTTTTGGGTGTGCAGGAAAAGCCGAAGCCTCCTTTCTGTGATATTCCGCTCTTGCGATTATTATAATGAGTTAACCACGGCTTCCCTAGATCACGGAAGACTTTCAGTTTGAGTTACAATTCAGGACTGCAATGAATATTACTAACTAGTTTTACTTAGGCTTACGCCACCTGTTCAACCCCTCATATCCATACACTGAAAAAACTCAGCAATCAATATTGTGTTTTCTGAAGGAGAACTTAGGTTCTTCATGACAGAATTTTTCATACTTCAACACCTAACAAGCTAATGCAACTCAAACAGCAGATCTTCGACAAAGTCCCAATCAGACGATTTATCTCAACCTATTTGTACTTACAGCCTCGAAAAATCCTTCAAAGCGCCGATTGAAATCGGTTTTCTTCCAAACAAGCTATCCATATCTTGATTTTAGTTATTTTTTCTCCTTCTTCGCAAGGAATCGAAGACAAAGTTGATGTGAAAGCAATTTCAACACAAAAGATGTCGCCCTTCTACGTGCAACGGTATAATTGGATTTCGGAAATTGTACGTAGGCGATCGGATTGGTCGGAGCTCGCCGGAGGAAAATCGGGTAGGTGACGTCATAGACAAGAATAATTCAATTACCTATTACGTGATTCGTTTAATACAACCACTCAGAGGTTCGCAAAAGTCGTGACTATTCAATAAAATGCGAAGTTAACCGGTCCCTGTGGCAGAAAAACCAGAGCGGTCACATTAGAAGGGACCTCCACGAACAAAAACTGCACCTTTCAATCTTAAAGATTTCTTAAGATGAACGACTGGGTCTCTGGTATATTATCTTTAATATGAATTTAAACTCTACAAATTGTAATTGGAGATTAGGAGATTATACATATGTAAAACGTACATATAAAAAGAAGCCGGAAAATAAAAAAAAAACAATGGAAGATAGACATTCAAGACGACCATTTAGGGCTCGTAGAAAGCTGTAGGGAAAATTAGTCACCAGACAAATGAAGGTGAGAATAGTATCTCTATCGATTCAAATCGAACTGTTTCACGATGGTGAGTTTTTGCCCCAACATTTATAACTTAATTAGCTCATTAGTAAACGTTTTGATTGCTCGTTGTTTGCGAAGGTCTTTACTGCAGGAGTGAGTTTCAAATTTCTTTTCTTAATGCTCAGTAGATACTGAAGTAGGTTATGAGACCCAAGCTTCCTTTGGTTCTTTTTTTCTTTTGTCTCAAAGCCTTTCATAAGGGGGCAGTACGATTCGTGAGTTTACGTTGGTTGTAAGCTCTTTTATGCGTGCTTTCATCAACATCCTCATTATTTACAGGAGTTCGTGTAGTGTGATCGTCCGGGTGAGTGTAGTTCTGAAAAGAACTGTTGACTGACGTTTCGACTACCTGTGCGGTAGTCATCTTCAGAGTCAAGTGAAGAGTAGTTGTCAGTCAATGATGTTATGAAGTCTGGTCTGTTGAACGTGATTGGTCTGTTTAGCCGTGATGTGATTGGCTAGAAGACTCGTGTAGAGTTTGTTAACAGTCATTGGTCGGTTTCGATCCGTCTGTTGTTTGTCGGTCTGTTTGTCGGTTTGTTCACGTCGTTAATGAGTCGTTTGTAAGGTGCCGGTGGTTGTTGGCATCTGTTGAGAGGCGTCTGTTCTAAGTTAGTAAACCAGCTTTCCAGAGTCAGTCGTTGAAAATAGTTTGTACTGTAGATTAAGCATTTAGCAGAGTCCCAGTCGATTCTGTGATTAGTTTGTCAGTGATGTTCAGAAATGTGATTGTTTACATCGCCATTTCTAGTTGCTTGTTTGTGTTCAGTTAGTCGCGTGTTAAGGTTTCTCCCAGTCTCACCAATGTAGGAGGCCTGGCAGTCGGAGCATTCGATCGTATAAATCGCTCCCTGTCTGCTGTTGGGTTCGTCTTTGTCTTTAACGTTGGTCAGCAAATGTCGTAAAGTAGTAATAGGCCTGTGAGCTATGCGAATGTTGTAAGGTTGTAGGATCCGCGCGATAGCCTCAGAAGTGCCTTTGATGTAGGGTATAGCAGCTGTAGTCGTGACAGATGTGGAGTCCCTGTTAGTTTCTGTAGTGTCGGTCGCCTTGTGTGTGTTTCGTCTAATGAAGTCAGTGTTGTAGTTGTTTTTATCAAAAACACGGTCAAGGTACTTGTTTTCGTCAGATAAACTGTCCGGTGTGTTGCAAACAAGTTGCTTTCGTCTTGTCAATGTCTTGATAGTCGTAGCTTTGTGGGAAGTCGGGTTGTAGGATGATTCGTCAAGCAGTCTGTCGGTATGCGTCGGTTTTCTGTATATTGTTGTTCGTAGTTCGTTGTTGTTTCGGCCTACCAAACAGTCGAGAAAAGGAAGCTTGCCGTCTTCTTCGATCTCCCTGGTAAACTGAATGTCGGTGTTTTGTCCGTTAAGGTGATTATGAAGAGCGGGATTTGGATTTGACATCGTGCCAGACGGGGAGCATTTTGGTTACAAACGGTACAACCTTGAAGAACTTTACGTTATATTTAATGGGGTTCGCACTAACCCCACTGAAAAAAAATTGGGAGGTGATCCGAAATGTCGACCAAGCAACTGCTTGTTCCTGGTAGATTGAATAACCCAGTTTTCGGCCAATAAGCGAGAAAGTGTGATCTGTTGCTCTGGCTGCTTTTGTCATGACTGACATGAGGCCTAAATGAAATGGCACGTCTCAGTATCCAGTTAGACGAACTTATTGTCTGACCGCCATATTTCATTCAAATTGACTTTGACGTCATGTGTAGTGTCTCGATTATGGAACGTTAACCGTAAAAAGCAAGAAGAATGGTAAGTATCAATGTTACATGAAATTAGATAAAACATGTTGATATCCTGAAGATTATGACCAGTTTGCGTGCGCGAAACCATAGTGAAGTTTGCCGATATTGATAAAATCTTATGAAACTTACAAACTAAGATCTAGAAGTAAGTTGCGAAATTGGGTGCACTGCACTGCGCACACTGCACAACACGGTGCGAGCATATACGGCGATAGTTTGTAGAGAGGGGCTTGGCGTCCTTTCTTTGTATTACGCACAACGGACGCTGAAGTGACCTTTAACGCGAGTTTCGCTCTATGAACGCGATTCGAAACCAAATTTAATGAAGCTTACATCACATGAAAGCTTGCATCTTGTATTTCATTTCGTTTGGTTTTAATGATGCAAAGCTAAAATTGCGTAGAAACATGGTGAATCTCAGAGAGGAAGCCTTTAACCCTTTAAATCCCACTAGTGACCGAGACAGAATTTCTCCTTCTACTATTTGTATGATATCGAGCAGATAAGTAATGAGAATAAAGAAAAATATCAATTAGGGATTGCTGGTTGATCCAATTCCAAATTCTTCAAACTAACATCATATAAATTGTTCGATAGACAGTAAGGAGAATTACTGATGAAATCTTGGGAGTTAAAGGATTAACTATATTCGTCAACGAGTCAATTTACCACCGGTGGCGATTTGAGTGGTGGCGGCGTGTAATGGCGAGTTGACCTTAATCTCATTCATCACTTTGGAACAGAAAGTGATGACTGAGTGATAAGAATGGCCTGAAGCAACTTCAGAATGGCCCGATTCCTAGACCGTCCAACGGTATCTCAGGCCAAATGCCAACCATCACCCTCCCACCCCCCACTACCCACAACTAATTTCTTTTGCTGTTAGCCAGACGGTCAGCATTAGATTCCATCCACCAAAACCACCTTGGTCGAGAGGGACTGAGATGGAATGATGGACAACTCATGACTTATTATACTAAATAAAAATTACGAAGCTACGACAACATGCCGACTTATCCCGATGACCTAAGTGTATCATTTGTTTGGGAAATTGCGTCAAAACTTTTTACTCAAGAAATGGTAAGTATTAATTTATTGTTCGATTGTAGTATTATAAAACATTTTACGCAATTTTATGCGGACGGACTTTGCTGCAGCCCCATGGAGTATCTGCAATGTCTTTCACAATCTGGACGATGCTACTTGGGCTTGGGAGTATTTATACAAGGACATTATGAAATCTCACCTTCATGCTCGACGAGTAAAGATAAGAAGAGGGGGCCTACCCTGGATGAACTCTTCCATACGTAAAGAGCTGAACAAACGCTACAAATTACTCCTTAAAGCACAGAAAACACCGAAGGGCTCACAAGCCTGGATAGATTACAAGAAGGCAAGAAATAAATGCACCAAACTCCTTAGATTAGCGGAATCAAGTTATTGGCTAACAAAATTTAATGAGACAACCTCTGCTCGAGATTTTTGGAAGACAGTAAGATCTTTCGAGGGAAAACAAACAGCTACAAATATCGGACCGATTAAAGATAGTTCCGGAGTTATTCACGCAGACGATACATCAAAGGCCAACACTTTAAATTCCTTTTTTGTCAATGTTGGAAAATCCCTCTCGAAATCAACACAAGATTCTTCAGTAAACTCTCCTTGTCAGTCCGCAAGAAAAAACAGTGCCTCTCTTTATAACATAGCCCTTAACAGAGATCTTTTAAAATCTTCTCTAAGGTGTTTGAAACCTGGCAAGGCGAGTGGACCTGATGACATATCCAGCAAAGAGCTGTACCTTATTGGAGACGCATTTTTGGATTGCTTTATGCCACTGGCTCAAAGAAGTATTTTGGAATGTAAACTCCCCAGCCAGTGGAAACAGGCACAGGTAAAATGTCTTCACAAGAAGGGAAATACTCTCGACTGTGAAAACTACAGGCCTATTTCCCTTCTTAGCATTCCGGGCAAGCTATTGGAGAATGTTGTAAGCCAACAACTTGATAACTTCTTATATAGCAACAATCTGATCTCCTTAAATCAATGGGGCTTCAGAAAAGGAAGCTCACCCGAGCTGCTCTTACTTTCCGTTACAGAACGATGGCGTTTAGCCTTGGATGAAAGCAATATTATTGGCGTAGTCTTTATTGATTTTCGGAAAGCGTTTGATTGCGTCAACCACACAGTTCTTATGGATAAATTACACTCTATAGGTATTAGTGGCTCTTTTTACGATTGGCTCTTAAATTATCTTGATAATCGTAAACAATTTGTCACCGTAAATGGTTCAAACTCAGAATTGTTGGAAATAGATACGGGTGTACCCCAAGGGTCTTTACTTGGTCCTAGACTTTACAGCATTTACTCAAATGATCTGCCCGGAGCCACAACGAACGCTTCCGTTGAAATGTTTGCAGATGATACTACTGTTTTTTGCATTGGAAATACTGTTGATGAAGTTTTATTTAAGATACAGAAAGCGATCGTTGACTTAAACAAATGGGCTAAGGATAACTTCATGACTATTCATCCCGCAAAAAGTGAACTAATGTTGTTATCAAAATCAAGATTCATCGGACCCCTACAGAAAATTTGTTTAGGGCAAAATGAGTTGTCATTTGTTTCCAAAGCTACATGTTTAGGGATTCTTATCGATAATAAACTCTCTTGGTCGCCACATATAAAATCTTTGAGCAAACGTTTTTCGGCAAGAGTGAAGAAACTCAAACACCTAAAAGGACTCGACAATCGCCTCTTAGAGTCAATTTATTTCAAAGGTATCATTCCAAGTATTGCGTATTCTATTGCATTATGGGGATCTTCTAAGTCACTTCAGACACTGGAAGACATTCACATTGGAGCCGCGAGATTTATTTTTAACCTAAAGGAATCTACCCCCAATACTGAAGTTCTGGCAGCGACAAAATGGAAGTCCTTATCATATTTCTATAAAAAGAGGATTGCCACTATATCCTATCAGGCATTTTACAATAGAGCTCCGGCTGCTATAAGCTCTTTGTTTACTAAACACTCTCCGTTGAGAAATCTAAGGGACAATCTGAAGCTATTCGTGCAACGCCCTAAAAGTGACTTCCGTCGATCTTCTTTTTCTCACCATGCGTCTGTTCTATGGAACAACTTACCCGTGTACTTGAAGAGCAAACCGAACATTGTTTCTTTCAAATCTGCTCTCAAAGCAAAATCCGACATTTTAGATAAAATATCATTTAATGGTTTACAGGGACTAAATAAAGACGTTGTAAATTACATATATTAAAGCTATTTTACTACTTTTATTTATTTTATTACTTTTTATTACTACTGTAAATCAACTGTGTATTATATTGCTAGGTCTTACATCCTTTCTTACTTACCATAATTTCGCAACTTGTTATTGTTATTATTTAAATTTTGTAGACACTCTTTAGTTTTGTAGGTCCACATCAGCTTTTTAGCTGCCATTTATCGACCTACGTGACAAATAAAGTATGTATGTATGTATGTATGTATGTATGCAGATATTTCACGTATTTAAAAGGTGCCCAGATGTTACGTAGTTTTGGTGGATGTCATTAGGGAACATCCACCAAAACTTTGACCAAAACCATCAACAATATATTTTTTAAATTTTATCTATAGCCACTGTTAGATGTTTAGGGAGACAAAAGATTTATACCACTAATTAGCAGTTAGTGCTCTGGCTAATTATTTTTTATGGTGCACAATTGCTGACCGACCAAACGTTCATAATGATTATCATAACTCTTAACACATAGAATAAAGTGGTTTTGGTGGATGTTTCTCTCCATCCACCAAAACCACCATAGCAATTTCTGCTACTTCCTTACAGAAGACTGATGTGACCTGCTATTTGGAGTACATAACCACAATCTATTTCTTTGTATGTAGAGATATTTTGCAAAGTTCTTGAGTCAGCACCTTTTATTATTGAAACCATAATCATAACATGGTGCACAATATAGAATACAAAAGGTTCTGGTGTGGTAATCATGTAATCTTGAAACAGGAGAGTTTTTAACTGACTTAAACTGATTTAAACAGACATTTGCAACAAAATTCCAGGTCCAGAAATTTCTTCCACTATTTCTGCTAAAATCATAACCTTTAAGTACAACAAATCAGCACATTAGTAATTGTTATCAGGAGTCTGAAAATCCTATTTCAAGTAACCTTTAATTTCACATGGATGAATAAGTATACGCTCAAGATGCAGAATGTCTTACATTTTACAAACTATTTCCCTTTTTATGGATAGACAGTGAAAGGCCTTTGCCACATTGGTGAATCAAACCATTGTATACCATGCATTTTGTGATAATTGTTTGTTTTTGCTCACAATATCCAGGAAAATGGAGGGGATAAATTTAAATAGCAAATTCTATTAAAATGGTTAAAATTAAATAACATTAGAAGATCAAATTAACTTTGTACTGTTTAAAATTCAGTTTTGGTTTCTTGCTTATTCCAGCCTCTTAATATTCAAAAACATTCCTTGTCATTTTTGTGTTCTTCTGTGTACATGACGTGAAAAATAAACAAAGAGAAAGGAAACCACAAAGGATTAAACTTGAAGCTAAAGCAAAGTTTAAGTTGAGCCATAGCTGATCCAAATACTTAGCACTTTGTATTGTAACCCATTTAGCAGTAAAGTTTATCTATATGTCTGCCAGCTTGTCACAAGTCTTACCCCTCTCCTTTAAAAGTCTCTTTAAATAAATTTTTCTTTGTGGTCCCTAATTGATGATAAGTATATTACAGCTCCTCAATTTTCCTCTCTCAAGACAAGGTTACTCTAAATTTAACAAAGTAATGGACTTGATAAACTCAAACTATAACTCAGCTGGCTGCTACTTGCAACCTTAATTTCTAGATATTAGTATACAATAATCAATATGTTATAAATAAGAACCCTAATGCTTAATTTTGCAGTGATCACCTTCCTCCTTTTCATTTGCAGACCAGACTGGAACCTCTATAGGTGTGTTTGCTTGTTTTGAGTGGGGATGGAAGAAAAGGAGTCATGCCGCATATCTGATTTATTAAATCGCATTTGTTCTGTTTATACATGAGTAGAACTACCTTGTTCTCTGAAAAAAATAAAATTTCTTGCATTTTTATCTGTGCTTTGCAGTCAAACTTCCTTGTGTCTTGGACAAGAAATCTTATTTTCTTGAAAACAAAATCTTTGTTTCCAGCCTTCTGTAATAGGTAAATATAACAGTGTAAGATGAGTGACAGTGTATTTCTCAAGTTATTTTTTGGAATGTGACAAAACGGAAGTGTCATAGCGTGATAAGGAGCAAACATATGATTGCTTGATAGAAAGCAAAAAATGCAGAATTGCATATATTTTCTCCTTTGTCAGCAGCATATGTTAGTGAAAAGTTCTTATAATTGTTAACTTCTAAACCATCTTCAATTTAGCCGAGATTGAACTGTTATCACGTTTGTCATAAAAGTATTCTGAGATCAATGTCATATGACCCATTCAAGTATTTGACCTTTCGAATTAGCAAGCCATAGTTGACAGAAACACAAAGGTTGAGGATAAAAAGAAATTATTATATACAGTGCTTCTTCTGCATCTTTTCGTTTCCTTTTCTCTCCAGCTGTTCTATCTATGCCGTGCTGGCAATTGAACACTTTCCTTCCCAAAATTAGGAAAGGCACACCAGGCTCCTTATATATCTCATGCATCTTCCCCCAGTATTTTGTGACTTCTGTCCGAGGAAGGAGGTGTAAGCATTAGATTAACCCGAATGATTCCACAATTGTGGTATCATCCAAGCCATGCCAGAGGACTTGAACTAGATAAACTAGTGAGAATGCACAATAGCGATAGCAAAGCTTTGTAATGCTAAAGAGCTATATCAATATATATATATATATGTGTGTTCCCGAAACCTTTGACAGCTTTAAAGAAAGAAAACTGCGTCGTCAATCCTTTTTCAAATTCCACAATAAGTTTATGCGCCTCATCAACAGAATTTACGTATCCTAAATTATCTGCATGTCTACCATCAATGGTTCGCGACTTAAAATTCTCGCTATGCTGTTTCTGTTTGTTCCTCAAGAATCATGGGATTTACAGCTTTTGATGTTCGGCTACATCACTTGCGGATTTCCGAGAATCTTCGGTTATGTTTTGCAAGTCATTAAATATTCCATCTCAGTCCCTCTCGACCGAGGTGGTTTTGGTGGATGGAATCTAATGCTGACCTAGCCAGACTGTCGACACGTGTAATGCACTGTGGGTAGCCTGTGTTGTTATGGCTGATGTTGGCTGCCAGTAGATTGCGTTTGAAAACAAAAGCAAGTTATTAGTTTTAAAAGCTACCTTACTAAGTTATTCTTTTGTAACAAGGCCTCTCAGAGAGCTACGATGGTTAATTGCCTTATGAGCTTGAGGTAAAAACGAAAAAACGAATGATCTTCGTGCGTTTGCTGGGAGATCAACCAAATGATGTAAAAAATATGCAGAGATCGATATTTGATGCTGAGCTTTTAGTCAACTTGGATTTGTTTGCCTTTTCCTGAGAGAAGTTAAGAAATATGGCTTCTGCTGCAGAAGATGACGAGGTGTGTGAAGAAGAGGAAAACACGGTCGATGAAGATGGCAGTCCTGCAACTTTGAAAGAAGGTTGGTTCTTACCCGTGATATTGAAGTGTTCGTGATAGTGATACGTCGAAAGAGGTGACACCAACTTTCTTCTACCCCACGTCTGTGAGCAATTGTCTAAGACTGTTCATTAAGATGTGCAATTGGTTTCCTTCTCTCATTGTAGGGTTAAAAAAGTCGTCTTCTGACTCGAAGATCAAGAAACTGCGAAGAAAAATTTCGCAAGGACTAAGACTTTGTGAGTAATACAATTATCACTTAAACGTCATTTGATCTTGCCCATTATCGTTGATCTGAATTTAAACAGACTGCTTAGAACCAATTAGGGTTATGTTGTAAGAATACGTGATCGTAATACTCCAGCTTGGGCTTTTACATCGATGTTTGATGATCAGATGATCAGCTCAAAGACCAAATATCAATCAAAACTGTGCACAGTAGGTAACACTGGCTCCTTGCAGACATCGTATGGTTCTCTCCCGCACACCGAAAAAGATGGTGCTCCAGAGTCATTGTGATAATCATGTTAAACTAGTGCTTTAGTAAGTGAGAAATGGAGCTTGTGGTGGTAGAGTGGGGGAGGTTCCCTTTTTAAACTTTAGGGGGAAAGGTTAAGTCTTATGGGTGCTAAGCTTTTCTCACATCACTAGAAGTATTGTTACACCTGGAATGGATGCTTCTAGGCGTAGCAAGGGTCCCTCCAGGACCCTCTGGAAACCAGCTTCTTAGCTGAATGAGCTACTCTGAATAACTGAAATTTATCTGCTCTGCTTTTCTCTGTGGTGGGTAACCCCTTAGAAATTTGTCAGGTTGCTAATAGCCATATATTGAGTAAATGAATTTTGCACTCCAGAATATGGAATAGAACTGTGAGAGTCAAGTTTCTCATTAGAAAGCACAACACAATGCCTTAACTACCACATGTTAAACATTCTTGTAAAGATTTGTTTCAATCATTTTTAACAAAATTTTGTATGAATTTGTGATGAAGGGTTAGGGTTCCATGCTATTAGAGGCACTCCTGATAATGGTCACTTCTTCACAATGGAAGCAGACACTGAATAAGGGTCCTCCAGACACAATGTCAAAATAACAACTTAGTTTTGTTGTCTTTTTTGAAGACTTTTCTGGTCATTTTCAAAGTTTTGCAGGATACTCTTATGGTTGTCTAGAAAGGCCTGATTACTAGATGGGCTTACTTGTAATGGCTTTTCACTTACTCAATTTAGGTTTCCAATTTGTTTTTTGCGGGTACAGACATCATTTGGTATATGTAATTTCAATTCACCTTTTAGCATTCATAAAAGATGAGAGCGGTGGACCAGGTGTCGCTGTACAAAATAACAGACATGCAGAGGTATGATCTTCTCAGCATTTAGTCTTTGTTAAAACCTGTATTTATTGTTGACTAAGTATAGTAGTATCCCAGTAATATCTTCATGAACTATACTAGGGTACAATATGATAAGCTTTTTAGCTTAACTGTAACACTAATGTAGACATAAGCACATTCACACATGGGAGTATTTTTTTTGCTTCGTTTGTCTGATTTTTAGAGATGTGAAGTGGAGCCTCAAAATTGGGAGAAAATGAACGTGGCTGGAATTTGAATTGGGACAATTATTTTTGTATCTTGAAGAAAATTTTAACATTTCTGCCTTTAAAGCCTTATTATGGCTGTGTCCTTTCAGCCCTACTATCAGGAAGAAATCAAATAAGTTTGTCAATTTAGTGATTTAAGACCAGTGACAGGAAGTAAAAAATCAGTTCTTCCATGAATCCACTGATAAGTGGTATTCATTTATGATCTTTCTCTCTTTCAAACAGACTGATGATGTTTTCATGGAGTCCAGCCCTTGTGCAAGATCAAACAATCCTGTTGTTAGACCAGTGGTGAGAAGGACTTCATCAGACTCAATAGGCACTCGACTGAGAAAGATCAGCTTTGAGATTGGTTATGGTAGAAGGCATTCTGATGAATTAGCACCTGGGGAATTAAAAGGCCTACCAGAGGTACATTGATAATAATGGTGATTATGGTTTGATAGTAATGATGATCACTATCAATGAGTTTTGAACAACCAAGGCCTTGCCTCTATTGTAATATTTTCCTGTGAAAACTCAGTTCCCTTCAGCATGTCAGCGTATTTGGAAACCAAGAGCAAAAGAAATCAAAGGATTTTTACATTAAATGAATGAAGAACCTGAATGTATCACATTAAAAAAAACATCAAAGGAGTCCTTGGTATTTGCATACTTGAAGTTCATACTTAAGCATTTTTTAGTTATTTTTTTTTGTAAAAAGAGATAACTTTATGTTAGCATATAGAGTGGTATGTTTCTTACACCAATCAGATTGCCGCATTAGGGTATTATCTCGCACCAATCAGATTACAGCATTAGGGTATGCATCTAGTACCAATCATACCATAGTAAATTTTGAATATCTTGCACCAATCACAGTGTTTGGGTATTGTTTTCTTGTAAATGATGTCATGGATCTAGGAGCTATGCACAAAGAATGGTATTAACTAGAAATATTGGGCTCATTTGATAAGTGTAATGGTTTACTGCCTTCGTGAGAGCTTCGTCAATTAAGTTTGAGATTTATCGGGATAGGAAAGTTATGCATTTAAACTTTTAAGTTAGAACATGTTTTTCCTGCTCCTTTATGCACAATGCATATGCCAAACAACTTACAGTCTGTCATGTACCATGAAAAAAACCTCCAAAGTCCAATCAGAACATATGCAATCATTGCACTACATGAACATTAAAGTAATTTTTTATGTGCTTGAATTGTATCAGCCACCAATCAAATTCCATTTTGCCACATTGGACTTCACTCTATCATGTGTCATTTCCTTGTAAACAACCTGCATTTTATCATGTATTTTAACTGCATTGTCCAACCCCACCAAAAAAACTTTACATGGAACTAAATGCTACTGCTATTGAGTTTTTCCAAGCAATTCTCCCACATTTGACTTTTTCCATGAATTAAAGTCACTTTAAGCTACCTTGGACTCAACCCAATTGCATGTTAATTCCTTGTAAAACAACCTCCATTCACACAAAGGGGGCAAAGTCCAGATAGGCAACAACCAATCAAGGAGCCCTCTTTGAAATGTTATCCTTTTCTCTTTTTAATGTATCTTCACTTATTCAAGATCACAATATATCTTTGGTTATGGTCTATTAGAGGTACAGCAGCATTTCAGTTTGCTTTTCGTAGTAAATTATACGGAATTATATTTTTGAGGTAACTAACTGTAATTTGAGGTATTCTGATCTTGTTGTGCAATGCGCTCTCCCTCAAATGGGAAGAAGAGAGTGTTGTGTGACAAGACCAACAACAGCTGCGAAGTAGACAACAATAAGCGTGGCACCGATGCATTTCATTTTAACTAAGACATATTTAGACAATAGAGACAGTAGATCACATATATCTGTGTGAGTTCAGATTAATTACAGATAGGTTTTTTCTGTCTTTGTGCCATATTTTTGTTTTGTGAAAGTTAAGTTCTTTTTGGTGACAAAAATGAAAACATTAAGTACACAAACTGTCCTATCTCAACCCATTCAGCAAAAAAATAATTCTTACATGCTATGCATACCTATGTTAAAGAATTCTAAGCAAAACTGTATTTTTAAATTTAAGGTAACATTTTGGTTGATTACTTTGTTTTGAAGCCCCTATCTCCTCCATTTGGTTGCCTTGATGCTTATCAAAAACTGGAACAACTTGGAGAGGGCTCATATGCAACCGTGTTCAAGGGGATCTGTAGGTAAATATAAAATTATTCCCAAATGATTTTGTCTATCTAAAGGTTATTTTTAAAATCAGTGCAGTTCTTGCGGTGGAAAAAAATTCTACATTATTTTACTATTGGTTTGTGCTGATCACATTATCTACAGAACTTTTTTTATTACTGAGTTTGCAGTATTTCATTCTTTTAAGTTGTTTTATGACAGATTATTTATGAATAGGCAATTAAGTATAAATTTGTTTTTTAAGAAAAGCATAGATCAGATGAAAAGGCTTTCAAAAATATTTTGTGTGGCAATTATGGTGAACTCAGGAGTGTTGGTGTTTTGTGACACTCAGAAAGCAATTCATTATTGAGTGCCTGATCATAGTTCAAATTCTTTCTTTTTGCCAAATGTATCCAGGGCAACAATATCACAAATGGAAAGTTAGTGGTGGGTGGTTTAAAAAGATTGCAGCATTTAATGTTGAAATAAGCTAAACTGGAAGCAAAACAATTTAATAAAAAAAATTTTCATAATAAGGTTGAGGTTTGAGGGCTCTTTAAATTATAGTTTTTTAGTTTTTATCCAATCATGGCCTTCAAAAGTGGCACAATGATACAGTGATATATTTTGATATTTATTTATCATTCCTTGTGTCAGCAAAAGTTCAGAAGGGTAGCAATCAACTCTTACAAATCATACTTCAAACAGGCTTTGATTTATTGTACATGCTATGATATGATTGTGCAGTGAATACTTTCTGTGATTATTAAAAATTTTTATTGCTGACTAGGACATTGACAACCAACTCTGATCAACAGAAATCTTTAATCCTAGTGCAAATAATAAAATTGTGGCCCTCAAAGAGATCAGATTGCAAGAAGAGGAGGGAGCACCTTTTACAGCAATCAGGGAAGGTAACAGCTTTATTATGTATAGTTTTTAAGGAAGGGTGGTATCCTATCCACTGTGTGTTGTGTTGCCTGTGTAGTACTAGCTTTGTTGCTAAGTTGTCATAAATATGACAGCTGGACAACATTTTTAAGCAATGACTTTGGCCACAACTTCTAGCTAACAAATAACCTATTAATTCTCTCTTCTCTCACTCTCAAATCACTCACTCAAAGTTTTTCTGCAAGAATTGATTTCTAAATGAATTTGTGGTACCAAATGTGTTTTATAATTATATAGATTGACAAGCAGCCTAAAAACTTTTGTAATTTAATAATCCTTCTCAAAAAGAAACTCAGAAAGTTAACTGAGAGAGGTATTTGTAGTTAACAACTATATTAATCATGAAAGTTAATATCTGATAAAATGCTCCTAAAAAATTTGTAGGTTGTGAAATGTTGAGCAATACTTTTCCTAGTTCTTTAATAGTTCCATGAATTTCGACATTTCAACCTTGTATTTTGGGAAGTAATTCGCTGACTAAAAGTTGCAATCAATCCCCATATGTTATGCAAGAGAAAGCATCTCATTTGACTTCTGTTTTTTGGTGGAAATGGGACAAGGTTTACACTCTCACAACTTCAAAACATACATTTGAATTTTCTTACAATTTAAATTTCCTTAACATTCTTTGTAAATTAATCATTGTTGGAAGAGAAAAATATGTTTGGTAATATTAGAGAAGAAGAGGAAGTCATTGTGATAGTCATTTAACTTGAGTTTGCCTGCAAAACCAGTCTTGTGTGTGCAGACTTCTTTTTTTTCTTATGTGCTTTCTAATTGACGGGTGTCAGATTGTGACAGATACTTAGAAACAAATATGTTTCGAAGTTTGCCTGGAAGCCATTTAAATCACCCTTCTTATTACACAAATAAACTGTTTTGGTAAAGCCTCTCTTTTTAATTTGCATTACCTCTGTTTTCTCTACCATCATCTTGCTCAAAAATATTCTTTTTATGGAGGATCTTGCTCTAATCAGAGCCCTAAATCATTAGGGTTCTTTTGGAAAGAATTTTGCTAAGTTTTAGAAAAAAATATAAAAATGTTATTTACCAGCTTAGGTCAGTCTGTATTAGGAAAAACTGTGCCCTTTGGCTTGAGCACCACCCCTGGCCTATGGCCAAGGGTGGCCATACTTCAAGACTTCAGGGACAGTTTTTTCCAACTCTGACCTCCTGGCTGGTGAATAACATAAATAAGATAAAGAGACATGAATATATAGACTTGCTGAAGCCATTGTGCATGTAAGAGATAAGTGTTTCCAAAGTATCGGTATGTTTGGCCAATCTTGAATGACAAGAAATTATTAGTTTGTAACTAGGTGTGTACTTTCTTGGCAATAGCATCTTGGCAATGACAGTAGACATTAAAAACTTTGGAATTTTAATGATGTGGCCACTGGCTTTGTGAAAAGGATTATGATAACAAACCTTTTTTTTTTTCAAAGAAAATAACTGTTGCCAGTGAAAGTGGATTTTTCCCTTTTTGTTACTGGTGAAATATGATCATGATCTTGAGAACTAAATGATATTTACCATTAGCGATGGTCATTGTTTGTATTTGTTTGATTGATTGTTATTTTTTAGCTTCTTTGTTAAAGCAGCTGAAGCATGCCAACATTGTAACACTTCATGACATTATACACACCAAAGACACCCTTATGTTTGTCTTTGAGTTTTTGGTAAGTTTTAATATTTGTTAGAAACAAGCATCTCATCAGTGTTTCTTACAGTGTATTAATTTTTTTTGTTTTTGAAATCCACCACATCCCCTATCACAGGTATCCCCTTCAAAAGAGTTTCATGGCCCTCTTTTTCATGGATGGTAGGCAAGATGTTTACGGCTGACGTTGTTTAATCACTTTTGTCTACCCTCACACTTTTAAACTGTGCTTTCTTGTTTTCATTTGTGGACATATTGAGTTTTGGAAAAAAAAAAAAGTATTAATTTTGTAACTATTTAAAATGAGAGTTGTCACAGATGTAATTGCAGTGAAATTTTGCATGCTTTAATTGGTTGGCACTAACAGGTAATCACTTGCTCAATGCATTGAATGCATTTTAAAAAATTTGTACCATTTTGGACTTAGACACATTCATTCTGAAAGCACTGAACTTCTTGTTGTTCAATTTTTTAAACAAATCATATTGTCTTGTGATTTCAAAAAAACTCAGGCTTACTCAATTTTGCAATCACAGGACAGGTGTGAGTATTGAACAGAAATTATGCAAGGAAAGGACCAGTCACAAAATATAAAGTACTTGGTTTATTATAAAAAATGTGCACTAATAACTACTTAACATTATGTATTAACATGGAATGTTGCTGTTGTTGTTTCCGTTACATTTGACTTTGTCTTGTGGCCACCCCCACCTTCCTCAGCAAAATAAAAACATGCTTACACAGTAAGAACTATTTTCTAATAAAGTGATTTAAAGTGACAAATTTTCAATTTTTTTAACTGTTTCGAAAATGTTCTTTGCTTTAGGACACAGATCTTAATACTTACCTTGAAAAGTATCCAAGAGGCATCCCTCCACAGAATGTCAAGGTTTGTGAAAAACATAATTATTTGAATATTGTATTGTGATTAATACCTTTGTTGTCCTATTCCATTTATGATTATTGTTTCACTCATTAACAGTGTTATGGTTGACATAGGACATGTTCTAGAGAAAAATGATTTCTGACATTCAGGAAGGAGAAGAAACTAAGTAACATAGTTATAATGAGTTAAAAAATAAAGTGAAGCAGTTGTTTGCATCAAAGGTATTCAGTGGATACACTAAAAAAATGGTCCTAATAGTAATCAGGAATAAATGACAAAGTAACACTAATGACTTGCATGCTCAACAAATTCCTCAATCTAGGAAACAATATGTAAACTGCCTGTACCCTGTTTAGACATCTCAGTTATCAATGTCTAGATTCATATTGGTAGAGACTAATATTCATGTAAGAATTTTTCCAGTGACTGTCACAAACTAGACAACTCTTGACAATCATTTTGTTCTTTAGTACAAATCATCTTTTATCCATAATGTGATGCCTAAGGTGTAAGAACCATCTCTAAATTTTAAGTGATGATGATGAGATGGTGTTGAGGAAAACAATATTCAGTTTTTCTTGGTTTCTCACTTGTGGGCTTCCATTTTGTTTCGCTGTACTGGAAAATTGCTTAACAGTCCTTGTGTACATAAATCATTTTGTTTTACGTGATATGTAACTCACCAAGTTTATTGAGATTACTTTTCCACCCAGAACTGTATCATAGTCCATCTTAGATAGTTTTCTTTTTTATTTTAATGAGTTGGAAATTCACTGATTTCCCATGATGTTCTTTTAGGCTTAAACAATTTTTGCTTTGTTTTACTGCAAAACATTTTTTTTTCACAGATAGTCACAAATTTCATTTTACAGGTGTTGTTGTTGTAACCTGTGAATATTGGAAGCCCCAAGTCTGTTTATGAGCTAACAGTGCATATCATGGCTAATATTTGTTTTCTTCACTTCTGTTGTATAGCATGGTTTCTAAAGATTAAGTTATTAGTTTTGAAAGAAGACAAAATAGGCCAATCATCTTTCTGTTCTTGCTTGCAGCTGTTTCTGTTCCAACTATTACGAGGATTAGCTTATATTCACAAAAGAAAAATTCTTCACAGGTGATGGAAAGTTACAAGGAGCAGTAATGATCATAAATTTTACAAGATCATTGCATGTGTACCTGATCATGATTAGGATGTAACATACGGTCCTGAGGGAAACAGTAAATTTTGTTTTCCCAAGAGTCCTAATGTTTCCCTTGTCTTAGGATACATCAGGACTTGAAGGAAAACAAAACTATCTAGTCTCCCAAGAGACCATACTTTAAGTGTTTTGTTATATGTTTAGACCTTCCCTTAAAAAATCATAAGGCAAAAACAAACAAACAAAGTCTCTATCTAGTCTCCCAAGAGACCATACTTTAAGTGTTTTGTTATATGTTTAGACCTTCCCTTAAAAAATCATAAGGCAAAAACAAACAAACAAAGACGGCACAACTTCTTTATTCACAATCATGAATAAAGAATTGTGAGCATGTGCTGAAGATCATGCCATTTTTAATTTAGTCATGCACTGATCACATGCTGTTGTATTTGGCACATGGGTAACAACTGCACAATTGTATCCCAGTCTGGATACATTTGAATTTGATCAAGTACATGTGACCAAGAATCAACCAATCACAGTGCTCATTTTGATGAGTGAAAGTCTAGGTATATAACAACATAAATTGTTTATCTCTTAAGGAATCCTGATAAGGGTGCGGTGCATAATCCATGTTAATTAAGGGGTAATTTGTGAAATGTGCTCCGCCGTGATACTGAACCCTCATTAGCAAGCATAGGAGGTGCAGATGAGGAGTTGGGTTGTATTTACAGTTACATCCAAAGTGGTAGAGAGTAGAGAAAATAAAGAAAACTGCTGCCAGTCAGGGTGGTTGCAGGAGGAACCCAATTTTTTTTCTCTTGATTACTGAAAAGTCTCAATATTTGAGGTGAAAACAAAAAGGAAAATAGAATGCCCTTACATTTTGACTACCATGGTTTGGCATCAAGATGATAGCTTTTCATTTCCCAAAGTTTGATTGGAAAATGATTGGGAAAGTTAGAAGAATGCTGAATGTAGTGATACTGGAGAGAATCTGATGTGGCTTCTTAACTTATCCAGATGAAAGGTTATTTCTTATGTCTATTTCTTATTTCCTCGTAATTTGAATGGAATCATTTGACATAGGATTTTGTTATTTCTTTAATGAAGGGTACATTCTGTTGATGTTTTATAGGGACTTGAAACCTCAGAACCTGTTGATAAATGAGAGTGGAGAGTTAAAGCTGGCTGACTTTGGTGAGTTAGATAATATTGTTTGTATGTACATGTATATTTGAATCATCTCTTTTGTCAATCCTGGTTTTCAAAGCAAACTGAAGGAAATAAAGTATTATTGATGAAGTTTGTGGGAAAGAAATAATAGGGAAGGGTTTTTTCAGTGAGGAACAACTGAGTCGTGTATATTTTATGATATAACCTGGGAAATATGATTCCATTTTCTTGATGTCTAATTTTTAAACAGTTTAAGTGAAAAAGAACTGAGTTTGTAAACATTAGATAAAGCCTGGCTGTGTTCATGTGAACCAGGGTTAAAGCTCCCCCAGTTTGTTTTTTTTTAATATATATTTTAACTAAGTTATGCAGATTATTGCATAATGTACCAATTTGCCATTTGTTTTTATATTAGAGCTTGTTTTTAAGGAAAGGAGGGGACTTATTTTTAACAATTCTGTTTGCATAGGTTTAGCACGAGCCAAGTCTGTTCCCAGCCACACATATTCACATGAAGTGGTCACACTATGGTAATTAAACAAATCATCAAAATCAAACTTCATAAGATACCAGTAATACTACTTTGCATTTCAAATTATTGTGCTTGAGCATAAGGATGGTTTTCATCATTTTTGCATCATTTTTGGTTAGAAATAATGCTATTGTCATTTAGTATACATTAAAACAGTAGACAGTGATGTAGGGAGGTACTCATTGGCTACTCAAACTGCAAGTATCCTATGCCATTCACCTCTGAGCAACTTGCACACTATTTGCACCTGAAAATGTTGTAATCATTCCAGGAATAAACAAGTTAAAATCATTTTTTGCTTAATCTTATCCCAATGTTTTAGTACATACTAAAACAACTATTCAGTGTAGCATTGGTGTAGCAGAGGATATTTTCCTGCCTGGTTCAGTAAATATCCACCACTAGCCACCACCTCTTGAGTAAATAGTTGTTTGAAGATCCTTTACCATGCCCACTTCGTTTGAGTTCTAGACAAAAAGAGATGGCATGAATGAAAAAAAACTCTAAACAAAAACAGTCAGAAAGTAACCTAAGACATTGGATTACAACTTTGTTATGTTCTAGTCGTAAACCCCCCCCCCCAGGCCACCGATCCGTGCAAAAAAAAAAAAAAAAAGAAAAGAGGCTTCCCTTTTTGATTGTTTGATTTTTTAAATAATTTCAGGACTAAATATTTCACTTGTTCAAACTTAATCCAAGCTACTGTAAGAACCCTTATACAAGGGATCTAAAGTTTGATGAAATTAACACTCTACTATACATGTTTCACATGTTTTTGTACCATTTTTGATATTTGGACTTCTATTTTACTACATTCTCTGTTTACCTATGCTAGGTTTATCAATATAAACATTCTTTACTCCACAAAATGTAATGAAAGAGTTGTACTTTTTACAAATGTGAATGAATAGGTACTATTATAATCGTTATTGTTATTATTACTATTATCAATGCCATCTTTATCATGATTACCAAGGCTACAAACAGTTTTACTGTTAGAGCTACTACAAAAATTAATTGACATTTGGCAAGAAAGGTGGAAAAATCAACCAGAGGCAAATTACAAGCTATCAAACATTACTTACATTTGATTAACTAATTTGCAGGTATCGACCTCCTGATGTTTTACTTGGATCAAAAGATTATACTACCTCGTTAGATATCTGGTGAGACTAATGACTATTAATATAGTATGAGAAATAGACGTCAGAATCTCATAGCAGGGTTTATTCCTGCAGAAGTTTGTTTTTCTGATATTTGCATTTTGTTTTTCCAAGGGGTGCTGGTTGTATTTTTATAGAGATGATGACAGGAATTGCGCTGTTTCCTGGAATGAGAGATTCTATTGATCAACTCAATAAAATCTGGCAGGTATTGTTAAGAATTTCTGTAAACTCCTTTTAAAATTGTGAGATAAAAAACACTGAATTTGATAAGTTGAAATTGTCACTATGATTATCTTGATTATTTCGTTAAAAATTTCGAATTTAAAATATTTAATAACTTTAAACTTGTTGTGTTGCCCGTGTACGGATAAGGTGATCACGTTTAGTTGCTGGACAAATTTTGATGTGAAACAGTCATACAATATTTTTCAGCAATTAACTTCAATGAAATTAATTACAGATTATTGGTGGCCATGATGCAGGTCAGAGTTCAAGAAAATTTTATCCCCCACCTTAAACCGTTTGTCGCCTCAGAGATGTATATTTCCCCAGAAAATGGTCTAATAAGAACTCAGTAGTTAAAAAGTTTGTGATCAGCATGCAGATCTGATTGTGTTTCTTTTATGTATCGTATCCCTTTAGATATCTGGAACAGCCACTGAGGAAACTTGGCCTGGAGTTACCCGATTACCTGAATATGATGCAGGTTTGTCTCTGGATTATACCTATAGTTTTTTTTCTAATATCTAACTTATAAAAATACAAAAATATACGATTCAAATAGGAAAATACATCTAATGCCAAGTCATATTTAAGTTATGTATGTTGAAACAATAAAGTAAATTCGATATCCCATAACCTTATAATTAGAACGAGGAAGCTGTTTAACGTCCATGGACTCGTCCATGCAATGTGTTTGTCGATTGAATCATAGGTTTTGAGTTGGTGTGCAAAAGCTTCTAGATCTGACAATACTCTCTTTTAAGTCGGTTAAATTGCTGCTTTTTGGTAATAGGCCTTTCAGAAAGAGGATTAGAAATAGCAATCTTGGCTGAAAAGCCTTTTCCGGTAGCATTGTCACTTCCATACGCTTATTTAATATGGATTATTTTTTAACACTAATTTCTTATTATTGCATTGCCCATCCTTATTTCGTATAATTTTTCCTGCGCGAGTAGCACGCGCACAGCAACACAATGGCGGCTTTTATTAATAATGGTAATAGGACTGAGTGGAGTCCAATTCGGTCTGTAATCATACGAGTGATTAACAAAATCGGACGACTGCAAAGCAGGAGTGCGATTTGCTAATCACGAGTTAATAATAACCATTACAATTTTCGAAAAAAAAAAATATATCCACAACAAATATCTCTAGTAGAGACAATGTCAAAATTAAATATTCCTCCACTTTAGAGATTCCTCAGTTCTTTTGGGGAGGATAAGTGGTTGTTACTATGGTTATTGTGATCAGTTCTGTTATTTTTGGATTTAGCTGAGTGGATCAAGTACGATTGGCTGCTTCAACTGTCCAAGTACAGTTGTCCGATTACACTGTCCGATTAAAACTCTACAAATACGAGGACAAATATGTGCAGTAGAGACAATGTCTAAGTAAAAAATTCCTCAACTTTGGAAGTTCCACAACTTTTTTAGGATAAGTGGTTGTTGCTATGGTTATTGTGATCAATTCTGTGATTCAGGCCTGTCTGTGATTGGTGGATTTGACTGAAAGGACTTAGTATGATTGGCTGCTTCAACTGTCCGATTACAGGTGTCCGATTACGGCCAACTGTCCGATTACACTGTCCGATTACTATTCTACAGAAAAATAAAACAGCTACTGTACCAATCACATTTGAAGAAATTGTAATGGTCATGATTAATGTTATAACAGAACAATTTTTTCGGTTGTTACAGTTTCGAACATTTATCGCGCAACTCAGCAAAGATCTCTAAAATTAACAACATGGTGTCTCCATCTTTTTTTTTTCTTTATTCTTATGTCCTATGTGTGGATCAGTTACGACAACTTTGAAAGATTTACACAGTACATCCTTTAATAGGAATATCTTTAAGCCAAGTAAATAGTTTCTAAAGAAACGTTTATGTTGCGTCAGCACTCCTACTCAGCACTCGGGTGTGGAGTTATGTTACCCACAATCCTCCTTTTTGCCTTAAGAAAGTTTTAGCGCTCGAAATATTAGCTTTTCTAAACTCGCTACTGAGATTTATTTACGTTGCCCCAGTAATAGATATATCTCCCTATCGTGCAGCTCTTATGCGTTTCAATATTTCTGTAAATTCGTCGGTCAATTCTATTTTTGTAAACACAAACTTCTTTCCGTTTTCATATCTAGGGTGTTCACTTAAGATTGTACTTCTTTAAAGTATATTGATTTGTGCTATTTAAATGTATGGCTTGAAATAATCTTTTTTTTTCCCTCCCACTTAGATTTGTTTGTTGATTTTCAACCTCAGCGACTTGGACTTGTAGCCCCAAAGTGAGTTGTAGAATCATAATTATATTACTAACATTCAGGGAAGAATGCAGAGAAGCTGCCAGTCAGTCAGATTCACAGACTGTGTCGTATTCCTCAGATCTTGAGCTATGTGGAGGAGAGCTTCGTCATCTCGAAACGCTAAGAGCAACGAAAAAAAGTTCGAGGTAGCGGTTGAATCGAGTTAGCTGACGGTAAATGAATGAAATAATTTTCCACAAGGGGAGTGGCTTGAAGCTTTACGGTAACTTAATGTAAATTCAAGTTAAACGAGTTCCAGTCAGCCAGGATTAATATAATTAAGTTTATTTATTAATTGATTGGTTGATTTTATTCCTTTGATTCTTTTTTTCTCGCCGAAGGTTGTTGCTGTTAAGTGGCGCTGAATCTCTGGCCACAGAAATGGTTCAGGTAATACTAGCATTAAACAGAACAATGGCTGCACACACGGTTAAAGACAGTGATACATTTGTAGCTGCCCTTTTTAAATTCATTAGCAACATGACGCTATCACGGTCAAACACAGTGATACTTGTGTAGCTGTCCTTCCACTTCCATAACAACACGACATTATAACAACGAATTTGTTCTGTTCTCTTCGGAAATGAGAGGGAGATGGTTATAGAACCAACAGGCAGGCTGAATTGATTTCAGAAAGTTCTGACTTCTTATTTCATTTTAGTAATTCGTTTCGAAAGCTCCTCGTTAAGTTAGCCGTTTATCCTCGTTAAACGACTTCTTTGTAATGAGATTTGTGTATGTCTTTGTCGGTGGAATGAAGGATAGAGGGTGATGACATGGTGTATATCAACTATGTGCCTTATTTTCTTACAAGTATTGCCATCAAAGTTTCAACTGAAATTTATGCAATGAGGTTGCAAAAGATGTGAGCGAACAAAGTGGTTTTCATTTTGCTTAAAGGAAAAGAGTAGTTGCTCTGTTACAGGAATCAAGTCTCAAAGTGCGTCTCCAATTTTCCACCAGGAGGCTTTATCGGTAGAATACTCGATATGCGCCGATCAGTTCGAAGCTTCATCTTCCCCCTGGGCAACTCACGGGCATTTGACTGTCTTCTGTGCGCCAGGGGGTGGGGAATTTGAACCTTGCCTGGGTGAGGTGGGGAATTTGAATCAGCGGAATGTACGTGTTTTAATTTTAGATGTTAAGTAGTTTTCAGGTGAATAGACCGCTTTCGTGAACAAAGAACGCAGAAAAAAATTTCACATCGTAGAATGATTCTTGCAAGCAAAAGGCCAAGCCGCGGCACTGATGAAAAAAATACGTTACTTGGCTAAATTCCACACAAGAATCGTTCAAAACAAAATTGTGCTTAAGTGGGTCATTTGAACACAATTCCAGATGGGTGGGAGGGGGGGGGGGGGGTTGGACACGTCAATTTTCAAGAGTTCGAGTGCCTGGAGTGGTTACCAGGGGGGAATATTGAAGCTTTGAATTAATTGAGGTATCAAAACTTTTTTCGCAACGTGATTCAACACCACTCGTCAAATAATAACAGTGTGGTCAAGACTGCATATATTAACCATTTAGGGTAATATTTGGATGAGACAGTGATCAGAAGCCATGTTTTGATATTAGTGTGACCCAAGAAACAGGATATCTGCCAGTGACGCCATGAAACATGTATACTTCAGTGATTTACCAAAGGAAATCCACTCTCTACTCGACGGTAATGGTTGTATGTTTGTAATGAATTGCTTTCTACATTCAAGACAATAGATATGTCTCAACGTGTGTGTTTGTTATTGCAACGAAAAGTTGAAGGTCAAGAGCGATTGTTTGTTATCTCTGCCATAACACAATATCTCGCTTTGCTTTCTTCAATCATGTCTAAGGTGTCTTGTAATTGAGAGGTGATTGCTCTCTAATGTTCGTGATTAAAATCGTCTTCGGCCTAGCCTGCGTGGCAGTCCTTTTCTGATCCTTTCAAGAAAGAGCAGTGTGAGTGGAGTAGAAGCCGCGCAACGGCGTAAGCCTTCGAAAGACTACCGCACAGCTCGCTCATCTCCCGTCTGACTCGTAGGAAAAGACTGCTACGCAGGGCGTCCTAGTTTTCTCCTTTTCTTAATATGGAAAATTCCAACAAATGTTTAAATGCCCTGTGTCACTTCCTACGTACGGATAAACAATCCATGGAATATTGAATAGTCTGGTCTCTAAGGGGATGAAACTTCATCTGTTTTTGGCCCTAGGTAAGTTAGTTCTGTTAACAAGTTCAAAGCGAAACTTGCTGCTCAGCTAAGACTGAGTTTAAGGTTCTGTGACGTTTCTAATAAAAAAAAAGAAGAGGAGATGAAGTACCCCTTTGTGAAAATGAAGTTTGGGAAAAGTCTTTGTTTTTCGCTCCCCACAGAGTCGTCGATATTCACAATAACAAGTGTTGAGCTGCACAAGGATAACGACTAAAAGGTAAGTGATAATAAGGTATCAAGTACTTGTGTGCTCGTTTTATTTGTTTGATTCCGGAAGACCCGGTTGTTCGGTTTTGCTTTTAACTCATAATTGCGCTCTGCAGTTAACACCCTTGGTTGTATTGATCAAGGAAAGTTCATTTCTTGGTTGGAAAAGTTATTTGGCAGGTATCAATTTCGTCGGTTTGAAATAAAAAACTTACAACTCTCGCCATTGCAAGGCCGTTGCAAGCCTTCAGCGCTTGGCTCTGCTTAGTTTTCAGCTGCATCACCAGCCAGCTGATCACCATTTCTGATTCCGGCTGAATGCTCGTATCCTTTATTTCGTCCCATATTACTGTGCATACTGTTCCTGAGGAAAGGTAAGATGTGGAGATTTGTCAATAAGCTTTTCAAGGGATACCCTGAAGTCTACTGTTGACGAGTACTGACTCATGTAAGGGACAGCATGAACCCGAGTCGGACGGTTTCGTGTGGTGATTTGATGTTCTGTGGGAGGGAACAGTTGAGTCGATTTCTTAATCGACTACTTAATGGTTCAGGTTGGTTTGCAACTAGAATTGAAAGGACTGTTGATTGCGTGTGGTTTATTGCAGTGGCCACATCATCTCGTTAAGTCTTGGAAACAGAACAGGACAGTGACATGGTTGATCATTATCTGCTCAGCTCAAGAGACCAAACGAGGATAATTTATCTTCCAGATATTTATTAAATTATGTTCCAGTTGTGTGAGCATCAGTGTTGGTGTACTATATTTATCTATTTGAATTAAAAGAGTATAATGTAAATAGTTCTAACATTTCTAAGAATTTTTAAAAATAATGTATGGTCTCTGCTTTGTTAATTATATTAAATGAATTAAGGTGTTTCATCGAGTTTGAAAAATAAAAGAACCAGAATGTTTGAAGAAAGGATGTTTACTATCGCTTTTCAAATACTTCAGATATTTTTGTTTATATTTGTGCGTTTCTTTCTGCACGCAGCACGCAAGCGGCACAGGCTGTTTGTGACAATCAAAAAGCGTCAGGGAGAGGCCAACCGTTGGTTTTCTTCGGCTATTTTGCTGTTGAGTTAACAGGAGCCAGTCCGGGAAAGGTTAAGTTCTTTTATGGTGTGAAATTTCCACTTGCTTGACCGGGATATAAATATCATTAACAGTGTAACTCAGGAAATTTTCGGGCCATTTTGAGTGGATATTTGTTAATGACACTATTTGTGAAATTCAAGCAGGCGTTATTTTAGTGAGAAGTTGGATTTTGGGTTGTGTAAGTTGAGTGGCCATAAGTAGTATTTATATGTCAATTAAAAACAAAACAAAACTGTTGTTATGTTGAATCTTTGCATTCAGGGAGAAAACGCCGTCCGAAGAGTCTCGGCGGCATTATTTCAGGGACGCATTGATAAATTCAGGAAGATCTACTGAACAACGCGCTAAGAAAAGTAAGAGAATATAATTATTAAACTCGGAAATGACAAGCTTTACCGTTATCGACAGCATAGCCGTGCGAAACGTTTTTTTTTAACAGCTTTATTGGGCATGACTCATATAACAATACTATTACAATATACGATAGAAATCGAAAACGCAAGATACAGCAAGAATAATTACTGAGAGAGCAACGCAGAAGAAAAGGTCGTGGCCTTGTGCGAACAGGACATAAGGACCCGTACGATGCACCGCCCGTGGGATAAAAAAAGAACACTGTTAAATATTTAAGAGGAAACAATAGAAACTACGGGTGAGAAGGGCAGGATCGCACTATTGTCCAATTACCTCATGGTTATGAAAAGTACTTAGTCTGGTTCGGCTATGAGAAACAAAGCGAACAAAATCATGAAAATTGAGATCGGTAGATCCATTCAGACAGTTGAAAAAGACAACGAGGTCTTTGAGTTCACGGTCATAGGTTCCCCGTATGACGTCTCACTATTATATATGTTGTTTAAAGATTCACTTTCTGGCCCTCCTTTACACTATTTCAATTGAGTTTTGAGATATATCTGGTCTGGGGACGAAACTTGGGTGGCGTAGGACAACTGAGATTTCATAAGTGTCATATAGAATGATCGCCTAACTGAGACATCAGCTAGCAGTAAGCATGTGCGCTTCAATAGCCCAAGGAGCTTGTTGGCTTTAGCGATAATTGCTTGAATGTGTGGTCCAGGTGAGGGAGCTGGTGACTTTAACCCCAACGTCTTTCTCAGTGGACACACACTCAAGCTTTTCATTGTGAAGCTTATAACGGAAGATCGGCGGGCTCTTTTTTGCGGGTAATGGTTAACACCTTACACTTTAAGGCAAAGCGGATGTTTTTATGCCAAGTCCACTCATATATGCAGGTTGAGGTGTTCTGCATAGACATGCACTCTACGAGGGTCTTGATTTTGCGTTATAGTTTGGTGTCGTCAGCATATAGGGAAGTCAAAACATCGCCTATCGCTACATTTGGGAGGTCATCGATAAAGAGGTGACAGGGACCCATTGCGTAGTTGCGCCATCAATAACAACTTGTTGGACCCGCCCAGTAAAGGAGTCGGCAAACTAGGATAGCAACTGTCCTGACACCTTATATGACCTTAACTTGGAAAGGAAAACGCGGTGGTCGACGGCGTCAAATGCCTTGGCAAAATCCAAATAAACCACGCCCGTCTGGGTGTTTTTGTCAAGGTTTTGTCCGATAGTATGTAGTACAGATAATAACTGAGTGACAACTGAGCGATTCCTTAAGAACCAGTGTTGTAAAGGAGTGACTTAATCATTAACGTGCTCAAACAAACGACTAAATATGCAGCCTTCTAAGACTTGCTAACAATCAGGAGAAGCAATCTCCACTAATTTCATTCAAACGTGACAAAAACATAGGCAACATTTTGGTCAGAAGTTCATTTCAAACGATGCAAAACTTGTTCTTTCATTCATAATGTAAAGAAAATTTCGGGACCCAAGAGATCCACCAAGATCACTGATCACTTTACGTGCATCTCCGCCAATATCATCTACGGTATAACTTGCAATAGTTTCCTTTCCGTTGAGTAACTTCCCTCAGAAGCCTACTTCCTGTTATTTCTTCCTCCGTGTGCTTGCAGAGTTCCTTTACGTACGCAATTGTTCTTTTAATTTTTGCACTGCGCCGAGCGATTATTCGAGGAAATACGGATGTTGATTTATGCATTTTTTCAAAGCTGTTAATTGGTGGAGCAGGTTAAAAAGAACAATGGCTGTCTAAGGTGAGAATATATTAATAAGTTAATAATTTGAAACACCACGGTCAAGACTATGGCAACCGCTTGCCCAACAATCGTTCCAGAAAGAAACAGTGTAAATTTCTCGCTAAATTAGATTTCTAACGGCAATATGGTATGAATTGCTCGGTGGCAGGATGTTTTCTCTGCTTAGTCGAGGATATGGCACATATGATGGTAAAGCTAAAAAAGACACTCAAGAAACCCGGGAACACAAGGTAAACCTTTCAGTCACTGATCATTTGCAGTTTGTGTTGTTCCATCGCGCGGGCTGCCGCATCGTTTTAATACGGGGCCTCAAATGTGTTTTATGTTTTTATTTTATAGTTGATAACACATCAGTAACTTTTTAATTGTTTGGCCTAAAAAGTCGTAGTTATAATCCAGCTCTCAAGCGTCAAAGCTAGGCCATCTTTTTCCGCATTTTGATCAGCAAACTAATCCCTCCAGCTAGTGTCGCTCAATTAATATTGATCGAACAAAGTTAGGCTGAGTGTGATATTCAGCTAAAACTTAATCACGATGTTAACATTTCTGGCTCTTGGAGTCACTATTGGCAAGCTTGTTTTATTTTTTTCTGATTCACCCCGAAGAAAGTTGTCTGAACTACAGAATAGAAGAAATCTCACTGACACCCAAAGCTGTTGTTTTTGTTGACACCTTACCCACAACAAATCACTCGATGTCTGATTCCACTCGTGCTTGGGATTCTGCGGGGTTAAATGTACAGGCGCCGAAAATATGTGTTCTGCAGAAGAGTAACATGGTAGGCTCATATACTGAGTCAGAGTGCGCAAGAAAGATGATTGAGACAGGGGCGATGAAATTTCTTGCTAGCGTGAACATTTTGGTCAGAAGCAAATGTGTCTTCGACAAAAGCATTTAATGTTGGTGCTTTGTGCACCAATATTAAATGCATTTGTTTGTCAATTACAGTGATATAATTTACGAAATCAATTCAATCAATTTAGTATAATTCCTACCATTTTGAAAATTATGTGCTTAGATACTATACTGACATTTATCCCTTTCACCACTAAGCATGCATTCATTTTACATTTACATTACACCCTGGGTGATTGTTAAATCTATTACATTCATTTTAAATTACTGGTGATCTTTGCAATCTGATTGGTACTTATTGATGCAATTCTTTTCACAATTTGTATCTTTTTCCCTGCCTATAAGACAGCTTTACTTAAACACAACAACCAGTCAAATTTCAAGGCTTGTTTAAAGAGAGTGATCCAAAGTACTGCGTTTCCAACTTTTTACAAACCAGCTCATGCCTGATCAATACTGGATTGATAAAATATTTGTACAGACTTAAGAAAAAAACTTTATTGTGAGGAATTTCAAAATAAATGTAATAAAGTGGTAACTGAACTTTGCATCATGCAATTTTGGTCTAAAATCTTACTTGTAATTTCAAATCTAATCAAATACAGAGCAGCTCAATACTGGATCAATAAAATATTTGTACAGACCTTAAAAAACTGTATTTTGAGTGATTTAAAAATAGATGTAATAAAGTGGTAATTGATCTTGTGATTTCAAATCTAATCAAAACTATAGCAAAATTCTCGAACCTTATTGGTTATCACCAGCCTCTTTTGAGGACTAACAAGACAGTACACAGGTCATGCTTGTGACTGGATAATGTAATAAGAAAGGTATTACATCATGTTTGTGTAATTGGAAAGTGCACATCATTTGCATGCCCTGTTGTGGCACATTTTGCAGAGTTAGCTGTTGTTTTGCTTATGAAAACATTCAACTGATGTCTAGTTTTATTTCTCAAATTTTGTCATAGTTTTGATTAATTGGTAACAGGACCTTGTATCATCCTATTCCTGGCTGTAATCAAACTTGGGATTAATGATTTCAAGCCCTGAGAAAAGCCATAACAACACATGAAAAAATATAATTATTTTTCACGTTTTCACACCACTCAGTCGTGTGGATGAATGAATGGCAAATCAAGCCTTACAATTCTCTATCCAATTTTCATGGATATTGTCAACTAAAACACTGAAAAATTGGTATCGCTTATTGACAGTGATGTTTAAAATTTCCATGAAGGGAAGGAAAACCAAAATACACAAAGAAAAACCAAAAGCTTCGTACTCAGTGGCTCAGTGGTAATGGCATTCCTGTAGTAGTGATCACTTGTAGATATGGAATTTCTCTTCTTGTGTTCAACTAGATATCTCACTTGTTTGCTGTGCTCACTCCTGAGTTATAGAGTAGAACACTTGAAGAGAAATTCCATATCTAAGGACACCATGTATTATTCCCTATATCTCACCTCCTTGCTGCACTCACTCATGAAATATCCAGTTAAACACTTGATGATAAATTCCATACCTACACACGCCATGTTCAATTTTCTATTTCGTATCTACAGGGTGGTGGATTATTTGAAGTGAGCACTTATTTGAGGTTGGACACTTAATCAAATAAATAGAGGAAATAATAAAATCATAACTTTGATTCAATTCATCATGTCACTTTCTCTCGCACACTATTATAAATGGTTGCTTATCCTACTTGTTGGACATCAAATTGTACTGTGATTTTATTTACAGTAAAAGATTTTTGGATTAACATGGAGTTTAGATAAATGTTACAAAGCAAAATAAGTAAACTATCAAAGCTGTTGACAAATCTGCAGTTTTTCTTGACTGTAATTATTCTATTAAGGCAAGTTCTCTCTGTTTGGATCCAATCAAGTCAAAGTCAAGAAACTATACGGAAGACTTTCAGGCTAAAAATGAACCACACAATGTTTTCTTTTGTGGTTTATTTGTTTATTCTATATGACTTTCTTTTCATAAGTTCCCACCTGAATGGTTTTCAGTTGTGTCAAAAGACTCTTACAGAATGTAGATGACCAATCAAAAAGGTCTTTTATATAAATTCTAACTTCACTATATACTGTATCTTCACAGAAGTAAAGCTGAGCATATTAAATGTGGGCTATTGATAAGACTACTGTATTTCTCTGTTTTTAGTTGCATTCAATGTTTTCTGTCAATAACTGGTCATCCAAAGGAAATCAAGAAGGGTTGAATTTTCATAAATTTTTCTTTGGAGCACAAGTTGAAAAACAGTTTCAACTATTGTCTTAAAAGTAATTAAAAGTAATCTCAACAGCCAATGAGAACATGATATAACAAAGATCTAATGAGCACTCCTAGTAACAAACAAACATTAAAGGATTGTGCTCTGCCCATTCTAAGGGATATTTATCAGACATGCCATAATAATTGTTTATTTATGTAAGCAACAATTAAAATCATGGAATTGTGGAATAAAAAGCATGAGCAAATTTGAAGATACTGAAATTAATTGAACAAGCTAACAGGATGAGTGCAGTTTACAGTATATGTGAAGTTTATCACTGCTAACTATATTATTGCTGGTTGGTATGAAAAAATAATTTTATTGTCCATGAGCTGCACTCTTTGGAATTGATTGTTAGTTTCTAAGCCTGCCAATGAATTTGGAGAAATTTTTGACTGTACACATGGTTAATGATGCATGCAATGGTGGTTAGCTAATTGTTTAATAAAGTTTGCTTTGAAAAATTTGCAACTATTTCAAAGTGTTACAAGGAAACTTGCGTTGATTGATGATTTTGCACTTTTGATTGCAAGAAGTTCTCTACTAACTAATAAATAGCAGTATAATGAGTGGGAATTTATCCAGAGTTTGTCTCTTTAAGGAATACTTCTCCCTGGAGGATCTTCATTTACCACCAATCAGATCTAACTACCAGGCCCTGGCACAAAAAGATACTGGTGAATATGACTCAGGACCAAGATATGAAAACAAGCCTTTTAAACTGCCAAAAGTAGAAGACACGAAGCATAGTATAAGAAATGTTCCAAAAACATACACCACTAGAAAAGGGGCATTGCTTCTCTATGCTGAGGATTTCTTTCTACCAGGATCTCCAAAACCAAGAAAGCGCAGACGGAAGTATAAAAAGCAACAAACCATGAAGCTTAAAACAATTGGTGATTTAAGAAATTACATATTGGACTACAGGAATGGGGTATGCCACTTTTTTCTTTTTTTTTTTTTTAATGTGATGGCAAGCACCAATTAGAGGGTTCCTGGTTAGATTAAACTTTCATACTAATTGGCCATATGATGATAGATCATGGACAAATTGATCATTAATGCTCAGAAATAAGTGGCTATATTAGCCATCAATCAAATAGAATTTTGAATTAACGCTGCATAGATAATTTCCAAAGGGTCTTGATAGTAGCAGGCAAGTGAAGAATTTTAAGTAAAAGACAAAACTTTTAAGTTTGTTAGACAAGTTTTGACAGAAACTTATGTAATCTTCAGTTAATTAATGTACAAAGCATTGGAAGTTGAATTTATAATAAGTAGAAAAATGCTAATTATGATAAATGGTGACAACAAGAAAGAGGCAAAGCATGAAAGTGTGAGAATTAAAAGGATAGTTTTAGATTTACATGGTGTAACTGTCGGTTCAAAGAGGGCTGTTCTCTTTGAATATCATGTAGCTTCTTTTATCTTGAGTTGAAAATCAGTAGAGGCATGATCCAAAAAATTGGAAGCTAATCTGCTGAACACAAAGTGCGACAATGTTCAGAATCTTGCAAATGTTTGGAAATATCACTGGCCTTGTCACTGACCTTGTCACTGACTAAGAGCTCTCTAACACGTGTGGAAAAATGCCGGCACGTTTCGCTGGCAGAACAGGCATTACAGCCGGTACATACAAACTTACAAACCACGCGTGAATGGAGCTGGTCAGGTATAAGGTCTTTCGCACCAAACAAGTTGCCAATCTTGAAAGAAGAGAAAACTAGCTTGATATCCAAGTCTTTGCCATAGTGCTTAATAAAGTGGTGAATCTTTTTCTGAGTGATAGGAGAAAAATAGCCTATGTAGGGTAGCTTAAAGTAAAACATAGGTGAATTGGTGGGAAAGGAACCCTGGGGATGATGCTTGCTTTGGGTCCCAGTGATGTAACGGTTTATAACAGGTAATTTAGTGTTAACAACTGGGTTGAAAACGTAAATTAGCCATCATAAAGGGTAAAAAAGCTGATGTTTCGAGCGTTAGCCCTTTGTCAGAGCAATGGTGAAGGGCTAACGCTCGAAACTTCAGCGTTTTACCCTTTACAGTGGCTAATTTATGTTTTCAACCCAGTTGTTAACAATAAATTACCTGCTATACTCTCCCACCGACGCAGCACCACAGTTTCTTTAAAAACTTACCCCTTTATTTAACGGTTTATAACCTTTTCGATTCAATGGGCTGGGAAAAGATTCTTTTTAAGAATATCAATTAAAATTTTTCAGCCAAAGTTTTTCAAGATGTTCCATAAAAAGATTAGCTAAGACGGGAGCAAGGGGAAACCCCATGGCTATGCCATCTATTTGATCATAGAAAGAACCATTAAATTGGAAATGAGTCTGGGCAGCAGCTGTAGTGAAGAGGCTTCTAAGTTCAGGTTTACTTAATTGAATGTCAGGATTGCCCTCGGAAATGTAATTGAGTGCTAAGTCAATACACTCATCAAGGGGTATGTTAGTAAAGAGACTTTCAACATCAAAAGAAACCATTTATGAGACATAGATAAAGATTGGATGTCCTGCACAAAAGTAAAAGTGTCAGTGGCAGTCAGTAATCAGCTGGAATGTGAGGCATTAAGAGACTACATAGGTACTTGGCCAGGTTGTAATAATTATTGTATATTCTAATAGAAGATATGATGGGGCAAAATAACAGCATGGAGTTAGGTCTATGATCCTTACATGCATTTTGGGAAGGTCGTAGATTCTTGCTGGCTGGGAGCCTTTGGTGTAGATGTTTTCATACACAACGTTGTCAAGATGACCATTTTTCTTCAATATTCAGAGGAGTCATTACAGTTGACCTTCTCTCAATAGGGTGGGATCACCCTTAATGGGCCAAAAATTGGAAGTGTCATTGATGATTTTGAGGATACCCTGGTTGTAATCTATTGTGGGATGGTATGAGGAAACATAAGAATAAGCCAAATGAGAAAGATCCAAAGCAAGTTTTCTTGCTTGTTTAGTGTCTCTCAAGTTCTTAAACATAGGCCAGAAATCACTCAGAAAAAGATTCGCCCTTTGACCTGAGTCACTTTGTTCACTTGAGAATTTCAACTGTTTCAGCTCAACAAAACTTTCAATTCATTCATGACCTATCATGTAACAGAGTCCAAAAGGTATCCAATTTCACTGGTATGCTGTTATGATACTGCTTACCAAATTCAATCTTACGCATGGGTGGATGTTTAATGGAAGTAAAAAGAACTTTGCAGGGTACTAGTTTTTGACCGGATGATAAGCAGTAATAAACAACTAATAAGTGCCTTTTTAAGTTTTGCACCCATATCATGCCCTCAGATAGATCCCGCTTCCCATCCTCTCCCATCCCCTGTCCCCCTCCACTGTGCAGGGGGGGAGCTGTAATAGGCTAATTTTATTGGTGACTGTTGAAAGTTTCCCAAGCTCTGATTTTTGCTTTTCTGTCATCTAGGGTGATCCCCTTTTTCTTGCACTTCTTGAGAAGCGGATGAGTGGCCACAAAGACCAGTCAGTAAGACCAGGCTTTTCACCAAAACGTTACATTGCTACTCTTGGAAATTCACTGGAAGAGGACACTTGGAATCGTTTAGCAGCTACAGGATCATTTAAGGACCCATCCTTGTTGACCTATATCCCACAAAGGACTCCCGAACATGGTGAAGCTGTTTGTAGTCTTTTTTCAGGGAAACCACAGCCATATAGTACAATGTCACTACCTCCTATTTCTCCTTCAAGTTCAATGCTTGAAAGCTCTTTTCATTTTTATAAGAATGGAATGTCAACCGGTGCTGCATCAATGATCTCTTTAAACAGTGAAACTGAAGAATATGCACCATCTTCAAGGGCTTTGAGTCCAGCAGAATCACTGAATGATCGTCTGTCAGAGGTTGAGTTTCTACCCCAAAGAAAAGACCCATATAGTCAGTTAAATTCCACTCAAAAAGAGAATCTTTTATCACAACTTTTGCTACAAAGAACTTTAGAGTCAATGAATTCTGATTTGTCAGACCTCCAAGGATGGGTAACCAATTATCCCGAATCTGGAGGAGGAATGGAAAAGGATCCTGTCTCTGTGGTAACAATATCAAAAAGTAAAGCAAAACACAGAGGAAGCCTGAAATCAGGCTCTTTGTCCTCAATACCACGTTTGCCACCCATACAGTCTGCAGGTGCTCGGCCTTCAACACCTGTTGAATTGAAAGAAGAGTCACCGTTGCTGCAGATATCAATGGAACAAACTATTCACCAACAACCAGATATCACCACTGAAAAAGATGAAACTGATAACATTCTTGATCCTAGTTCTGTCCATCTACATTTAAGTTCAATCTTGGTGGATGAAAATATTCCTTTTGTTGATCAGGGAGATCTTCAGGGAAGATCGCAAGGTTAGTAACATGTAATTAGGTTAGTTTTCCATGAGCTATAATCTTCTTGTAAGCTAACTTATTGTTTGCTTTATATTGATAAAAAATCCCAATTCAATTTTAGTAAACAATCTTGATTTCTGAAATGTTAGAAATGTACCTAAACTTACTTACATGTATGTGTAATGAATACCATGTGATCCAATATACAATAGACCCTGCCAACTCATACTCCAAGGAGAAACAAAAAATGGCTTAAGTTAGCAAGGTTCAAGTTAGCTGATAGTGATTGGCTGTAAAATTGGGTCAAAAGAAATCCAATCTTGTTTGAGTTACCAGGGGTTTGAATTAACCCAGTTCAAGTCAGGGGGTTCTTCTGTAGTTTTTATTTTGCACCTACTGTGTCATTGATTTGTGTTCATTATCATAATGATACATACATGTAATAATATATACATATTGTGTTATCTGTTCCAGTATTATGTTATCTGTTCCAGTATTATGAGTTGCAGATTTTTTTTTTTTGACATCCATTCAAGACTAAAGCCCCAATTGCTTAGATGGTTATTAGCTTGAGGAATTTCTCCCTATAGGTGCTCACCAATCCTGTTTTTTTTCTAGAATTTTGTCATTTACATTTCTCAAGTCAAATGTTATGTCTCACTAATTAGGCATAATCTTTAATGTAAGCTATTGTGTCTGGTATTCAGCGAGGGGCAGTTCCTGATTCTGATACTAATTTTGCATTCTTGAATTGTTTTCAAAACACTGGTATCTCAGGGAATGTTTCATGGACAAATACATTTGCTGTTTTGGATAACCATTAAGTTCAATGCATTTTCCAGACTCCTCCTCTCCTGTCTTGTAGGTGATGGAGATACAGTTAGTTATTCTAAAGAAACTACAGCTGATATTGAGGATGACATGAAACAAGAAGATCAAAGTGAGAATGCCAGCCAATCAGTGATCATGGGGAAAAGCAGTGAAGGTACCTCGTACATTTAATATTCCTCCCTTTATTTTCAGGGTTTTTAGGAAGAACTACATGTACAAATACAGAGCAAAAAATTTTTAAATATAGTACAAAAAATGACCAAAAAAAACAACCAATGATGCAAGACTGCATAATTATAAATTCATCATCTGTCATCTGTACTTTTAAGAGTATTTTAAACTGAATAATGTAAACTTTTGCAGTATAGCATCATGAGTTTCCAGATTTGACATGGAATATGAAGTATACTGCTTTGTGGAGAATTACATGAACAAGTATTGTATTCTACTTTGATAAACTGCTAGATTGTCCTACCAAATTTTATCGGATGTCTTCATAACTTAGAGAGAGAGAGGAAGAAATTGCATTAAAACTGGGGATTATTTGTCTCAACTTCAACCTATCAGAAGAGATTGATTTTTAACTGCCCCTTGCAATGTAAGTACATTACTTACAGTAGCAATGTGAATAATTAAACTTATCAGTTAGAGGGAGAGTGCCTTGATATGACACCAAATCCAAGAAAGCAATTCAATGACAGCTTGAATGCGACAACTAGAAAAGAGAATTACATTTAAATTTTGTCTTCTGTCCCAGAATCAGATCGTCCTGGGATTCAAAGAAGACCAAACAAATGGAAAGAGAATTCTGGCTGTGAAAATTCAGTGGAAGATCAAGTGATGATAAAAAGTGATGACATGATTGCACTTGATGACATTGTGCTGAGTGAGGACACTACCTATGATGATAAAAGGCAAAGTACTCAAGGAGAGGAGATCAAACATAAGCAGACATTAGAAAATGTGGACCAAATGGAAGAACGTTCTGAAGATGACAGTCAGCCACAGGTGCAGAAGATAGATATGGCAGAATTAGATCATACACATACAAAAGCTGATGATGAGGATGAAGGAATTGGAATTGATGAAGGAATGGTTGATATGAGTGAAAAAATGGGAGTTGCTGATGACAATTTGGCAATTACTGAGGAAGGTAATCTTAATTTTTATTTAAGGAAATACAGTGTATGATATCCGATCTCATTATTAAATTACCTTTGATCGGAAAGTAAATTTACAAGATATTGCAGATCTTCTCAATGTTTTTATGATTTTTATTATAATATATTCATGTTTACTGCATGAATTGACAAGGATACCTTGTCACTTTTCAACTGGAGTGAATTCACATGAACGTTACATTAAATGTTGGCATATGTTACATTGATAGCAATGTTGCGTGATGTGGTGATATATTGTGTTCTAGGCATCCAGACCAGTCAGGAGAACACCTCATTGCCACCAGCTGAACCTCCTCCCCCAATAAGCTTGGAGGAACTTCAGGGGGAGGCTCGAACTGTGGCCAGTAAAGTTCTTAGTCGTCCACAATCAGGAATGGTGTTCATGGAGGACATAAAAGCTGCCATTGCAATGTGGGCTGATCGCCTAACAAACCTTTTAGGACCCCCTCGACAAGGTATATAACACAATGTCAATTTGTCAATGCTATGTAAAGAAGGATTTTACAGATTTACCTCTAGCGTGAGCCAAGGGGAAATATTTGAGATCAACGGGATTTTTTTTCATTCCTTTTGGTGTTGATAGCAAAAAAATAATGAAATTAGACGAGTGCAATCCAGTTTTATCTTTGAAGCCAGCAATCTTTACCAGTGCACTTCAAAGTTGAATTCAATTAAACTTAATATTTTAATTCGTTTTACGAATGTAAACACCCTTTATGCTGTATTGAGAAAGACCTCCACATAAATTGCTTAGGCCCTTCAAGCAAAATTACCGAAATAGAGTTGAAGAGTGAGATACCCGCACGAAATACAAGTATGTAAATATATGTGGTAAGAATATATTCTCTGTCGATTAAAATTTACGTTTCGTATGTTACAAATACATTGTGGATCGTGTGAAATGGAAACTCTTTCGCGGTGTTGATGCCATATCTATCTTGATCATCAGATTTATAGCTTTACACCAGTCTTTGCAATTCATATTGCATGGGCTCTGATATACCGCCAATGTAAATCAGCAGGCACGAGGCTTGAGTTTGTCCTTTGTTCTGGGTTTTTTTTCCCTTTTGATCTCTCTTATTTTCCTCGTCCTTTTACTGCAACGCATAAGTTAACCAGAAATACTATCGTCACTTCTGTTTATCTAACACTTACTTCTGTTTTAAGTTGTTCAAGTTAATTTTGTTTGCTTTCAGCGGAACGTGTCAGCTCTGCTAACCATCAAAGACAACATTCAACACACCTGGCAGCAAAGGAAGGGTTACTTCGCCATGCAAGGCATCGCAAGATGAGCAGGTCGGCAGGTCCATCACCTGCAGCTCTACGGGAAGCGCTCAGGATTTCTGGAGGTAAGCAAATTGACAGCTTGTAGCAGATAGTACGTTTACAATCAGTGCAATAAAATGCTAGAGCTTTGAGTACGCCGTAGATAGAAGTTGAAATGATTGTCTTGTGATATCAGGACACTCCACCCCTTCCCCCCGAACTTGCGTAACTCGTTAAGATGTCAGTCATTACTAGTGATTCATATCATCCAGCGAAGTTGGAATAAGTTTGAAAGTGTAAGCTCATGTATGTGTTCGTCACAAATATTGCTACAAACACTCTGTAAACATATAAGTAAATCTGTCAACCCTTTACTCCCTGACATCAGGATCCATATTCTTCGTATTCTATTCTCTACACATTTTCTCAGGTGCGGGCAAGGAGAACTTGCTTAACAATCAAGAGCCGATGATCATTTAGAGTTTATTTTTCTAGCCTTAGTGTGTGATTCAGGGGTGATTTTGTAGGAGAAATGAGATGCTTGTCATTCTTAGTGGTTAAGAAGTTAATAAAGCAGTTATAATTACCAATCTTGTTCAACGAATACTGACTTGGTGACGTGCTTCAGTGCGACTTGGTTAACGAATAAGTTACAACTTTCGGTAACGTTTAAATAATCAAACAAGGATAACTGTCCAAACGATCATAACTAGTTATAACTACTACAAGCAATAGCTGACCATTTTCCTGACACCTTTTTTTGACCATTTTGTGCTGTTAAGCATGTCACTTTCAGTTCATCCACATGTTTGTTTGATAAGCCACAAATTAGTGCGCTTTTGTTTGACAGGTGAAGTGATGGAAATAGAGGTCCTAAAAAACTTGCCACCACTCCCCAAACGATTGAGCAAGACCAGCCAGTCGCAGCCTCCTGGCCTAGATACCAGTGTCCATAAATTCTACGAGAAACGTGAGTTTATTATCCGTGGTTACATGATAGCGTGATTGCTCCACTCCATCATGTGTTCCAAAAAAAATGAGAGCAACTTGACTGGACAGAAATAGATCTTATTGACTAAGAATGTTGTGTCAGGGCAGGTTTAATAATTGTTTCTATGATTAGTAGATAACTAGGCAATTGGCTCTCTTGTTCTTTCCCAAAATTGTTGGAGAAGGAGTCTTATATTCATTGGCCAGTGAAGGATTTTGTGAGTTGGCCAACAGATTACAGGCGAAAAAAAAAAGGCTTAATTGGAAAAAATAGTGAGCCTCGTTTTGGTTTCCTTTTCGGCTTCTGTTTTGTGAACCCAAGAAGTTGAGTTTTAAAATGTAGCCATTCCGACCTATCTTTCCCGTACTGGGAGATTTTAGATTATATTTAAAATGATTTCCCTGTGCTTCATTGCTGTGTATAAACTCAATTTCTCTCTTGTCCACTCAAAGATGGCTCCGCATCAACCAAACGATCTGGTTCGTCTAATGCAGCTCAATCGATACCCTGGGAACGGGTTTCAAATGCTGACGTGCAAGTTGACGTTTTTAGTTATGCAACTAAAGACGAAGAGCCTAGCTTTCATAGAGTTCAGTTTGATGAGATCGATGACGAAGAATCAGATGACGAGGATGAAGAATTCAAAACAGCTTTGGATGCTGTTGTAACAGAGGTGAAACAGGACTACACTTTGATCGAAGCAAGGTCAAGAGTGGAAACTTCGTCCCCAAAGAAAGAGCAGAAGCCATTTCAGTTTCCCCGTCCGGCAGAATCTAAGCCGCCAGCTGGTCTCCAAAACAAACAAACACAAGGACAAGTCAAAGGGAAAGCCAAGTCAGTGCCCGCTAAGAAAAAACCTGTTGTGAAAAAAAGGGCAGGCAAGAAATCAACAAAAGAACCATCCAAAGCCTCAAATAAAACTTCGAAAACAGGGAAAGGGAAAGGAGAGACACAGAAAAAAAATCATCAGGAAAAACAAGAAAATCTTTCTGACGTAAAAGCGGCGGAAGGAGAGAAGACTGACCCTTTAAGAGTTGACTCGGAAACAGGTGAACATGAACCGGCAACATCACAAAGGACTGTTGTCTCGTCGGCTCTTTCTGGAGTTACCTCATCTAGAGTTTCCTCTAAAGCTTCTGATGGGTTAAGCGAAAAGAAAACTGCAGATTCGCCGTCAGAAAGACACGATACACCAGTTGTTGAGGTTCCTTTTCTGGCACCTAAACCTACTGAGCCTCAAATTATTCAGCCAGAACCGGAACCAGAAGTAGAGAGAACGCCTGAACCTGAGGAGCAAAAACCCTCTCAGGAGTCTAGAGCAGCTAGAAGGGCAGCGGAACGAGCGGCTGCCGCAGAAAGAAGACGCCAAGAGGTCGAACGTAAGAGAAGGGAGAGGGAAGAGGCCAAGAAAAGAGCAGCTGAGGAGGAGACTCGATTACAGCAACTTAGGCTAGAGGCTGAAGAAGAAATGAAGAAAAGGGAAGAAGAACTTAGGTAAGACTGTGAACAGTGATCAATGCATGTCTGCAGGTATAGTTTCTATCTGAAGCTGAAAGCACAATGATGGTTAAACATGATTGTAAAATCTGAAATTTCTTGTTTCTCATCACCATCGACCGCTCTCTCTCACCCACCATGTTATAAGAAATGTTCCTTTCAGCGCACATTTATTCTCTTGCTTGTGCTTGTGTTCGAGCATGTGCTTACAATTATACTTGTGCTCGCAGTTATGCTTGTGCTTATGCTTACGTTTGTACTTGTGTTTCGTACATCCTGCTTTGTTCATGTACATACATTGATGATTATGCTTTTGATTCAACATGAGCTATCCTATCGTGCTTGTGCTTGTGCTTATACTTACATGTATGTAGGTGGTCATTCTCGTACTCATAAATATGTTTTTGTACATGTGAATGCTGTTTATTAAGAATTAATTCATGCTCAGTGAGCGAGTATCAAGGTATGAAAGTGCCTAAATTACATGCGGTGGGACGTTTGGAGAGCACAGCGAGAGTAACCAAGAGCAACGTAAGAGCGACTTTTTTTTTTCAAGACCGCGTGAGGTCTGGTTTAAATATAAAACAGGACCATTTCATTTAATTTGGAGCTCACGGCACGCTTCTGAAAATCACCTATATTTCAAAATCTAAATATCGCATTTCGTGGCAAATTTTCAAGTAACATTTTTCCCATGTGGTGTAACTCGGTTCAGGTCAAGCTCAAAATAAGTGGAAATAATGTTGTTTTCTAGGATATAAATATAGTTTCATTTCCGACACAATTTAATTATGCACCCTGTTATTAAATCCGGATTCCAACCAAATTTTAGCAGTTAGCACCGTGTTCGATCAGGAAACCAATACAGTAAGCTAAAATTGCAAAGCTGACGACGACAGATTAATTTTTAACCTTGCTTTCGTTTCAAATTCTCATCCATTTCCCATGGCGAAATTGTTTACTATAACACATTCCATAAGCTAGCGGCAGGTGTCTGTTTTTCTTCGCATATTCGAACACACTTAAGTTTTTAGAAAGTTCTAGGATAAAATTGAGCCTTATTGCGGACTTGATATAGGATAATTCAATCATTTATACCGGTAGATCAACAGTTATCTGTTGAAGACGGAAGGCAATCTGATAGTAATGTAACACACCTAAGTGATTGTCACGCAAGGCTAAACTTCTTGTAAGAAATTTTCTTGTTCCCTTCTTGCGATTTTTCGGCTACGTAATTAGCACTTTTAACAACTTTTTCATATGCTGATATACAATATGTTACCTAGAAAGGGTCATTTCACTGAAAAGCAGAGATATGACTGTAGTAGGACTATACCCAAGACTCTCTACTTATTGATCAGCTATTAATTTCATCGTACAAGCTCCAAAACCTAGATCTTGTGGACCTTTTCTTCTGAGTCATCCGCGTTAAGCGCCTTCATATTGAATGATAAACCACGTATATTCCACTGGAAAGACTTGACACATCTGGTTCAAATTCCCCATCCCCCTCAGGTAAGGTTCAAACTTCCCCCCCTCCCCCTCCGCGGCACGGACGAACGGACAACAGTCAAATGCCCGTGGGTTGCCCGGAGAGGATGTTGAAACTTCGAATTAATCGGTACATAACGTCACTGACACTGATTCAGCGTTAATTGCACATCAAAATCTAAACAATGAATGTCAATTAGTACGCTTCGCTCAGGTAATTCGATTGAATTAACGACCACGCCTATGTAGAAAAAGACAAACTTGCGATCACGAGCGACTCGTATTTCTCTACAATTAATTTATTTAAAAATGATTTTCTTATTTTGTTGGAATTACATTTTTTGAGACTTTAATTTAACTCTCTTTTCAAAGAAAAACAAAATTTCCTCAAAGCTTCCATGATGTTCAGATCACATCTATTGAGATATTTCTGCAAAGAAAAGTTTTGATGTAAACTACGCGTCGATAGATGCTCCTGTGAAATTATTTTTAGATGTTTATCGTCTTTTGTAGTGTCACGGCAAGAACTGGAAAGATTACATCTTCGGATCTACATAATTTGCTGATCAAAACGAAAAAATGCATCCTCTTCAAAGAAAAAAATTTCCTCTAAATTTCATGATGCGCTAATCACACCTATTTAGAAGATATTTCTGCAAAGAAAACTTTTGTTTTTAATTGCGCGCAAACCTGAAACAATTGCGAGATGTTTATCGTCTTTTTCTGTCTTCCTTACAGTCACGACAGAACTCAGAACATAATGTGCTAGTGGCTATAGGTCAGAAATTACAAAAGGATAGAACTCAACTGTGTATCGATTGCGAGTGTCGAACTAATAAGATACTCCGAAACAAAGCAGACTGGAAACAAACAGTAATTAGCACCAGGAGTGGGGACAAGATCGGAATTCTACTGTTACACTCACATACCCGCTCACCCACTCACTCATCTCGACGATATGTTTGGCTTCGCCTTCTATAGGAGGTAGTAGCCACAGAAAAGAAAAACTGGAAAAAAGGTAGCAAAAAACGCACGTTTAAAAATTGTTCTTTAAAGTGCCTTGCTGAATCTGCGATCAGTTTTGCGTGATTATCCTTTAGCATGGCTGGATAACTCTGCTAAAATGCACGACATCTTTGTGACCCTCTCCTCCACCCAAAACCCGAAGAACATCGATGCCTGGAACAGGTCCTCTGGTCAGATTGCTGAAAGGTGTGAAGAATTGGCGCTTGAGCTAAAATTTATTCCAATCGGGCCTCAAAATCGGTATTGCCGACAAACTTTCGGTGTTTAGAAATGACTTAACTGAAGAATCAAAAGCGTCACCCTTTTGTCGAAGTAGTAGTTTTATCTTGCGAACAGTATCCCCAACCAATGCCAGAAAAGACTGATTTCCACTTCTGAAAGTTTTGCAACTAAAACTCTCAATTTGTGAAGAACGTTCTCTACTCAGCTAGGATTCTTTGTTTGTATTAGTGATTTCAAATGACACAATGTCCATCACACTTTTATCTTCAATTCTAGTTCACCTTAACTATCTGATTCCGTCTTCAGCTCCACATTCGGTATTCTTCTGCTATTTCACTCATTTTGAACTCTGCCTCTGTTTCGTCTGTAGTCTGAATTTTGATCATTTTCCAGGGGTTCCTTTGTTATTCTTTTCCTCTCTCTCCTTTCCCCTTTTATTTTGTTTGTGTTGTATCCTGCTTTTTGGCTCTTCCAAATAATGTCACTATTTACGTATAACGGCAGCACTATTTAACTCTGCACGAGATCGCCGCTGCGAAATAAAGCAAGTCTCACAGCGATGACTAAGGGATAAGAAAAATATATTGAAACTATAAATTTGGAAAGAATTTTCAGATGTGATTTAGTGCAATCAGTTTTTGTAATGTAAGTATTAAAAACTCTCTACTTTTCAGTGGATTCAGTCTTTAATGATAACTTATTCTACACTATCATATGAACAAGTTTGTTGAAGCGCTATTCGCGAATGTTCTTGGCAGAAAAATTGCAAGAAAGAAACAAAAAGTTTATCGTGATGGCAATGCGTTAAGCTTCTTTAGTACTCTCCAAGCTTCCCAAGTGCTTCCATACTTTGATATCGACAGCTTGAAGCATACACCAACTTAACACAAGCCTGTGCTTAAAGTTACATAATATTCTCCTGTTTATACTTTTGTTAGCAAAACTGCTTAAGTCAATTTTTTATTCATGTACTTATGTACGTTTTCTACTAATGCTTTCCGCTTACGCTTATGCATTTGTTGTTTCTTGTGATAGAGTGTGAACAAGTACAATTTTGTGTTTGTACCAACTTGATCGATGCGCTTGTACGATTATCAACTTGCAAGTCTAAACTAATGTTTTGGTGCATTTCGTGTTCATGTATGACGCTACTTTTTCAGGAATAATTATTTTCAACAATTCGAGCGTAAATATCGACAAACCTAAATCCCTTTCATTTCCCTGTTCTAGAACCCTTCCATTTCCTTGCTCTTTTCCCAGAATAACGTGCTCACTTATCATTTTGGTTTACGTGCATTTCTAGTGTTGTGGCTATGCTGCTTGATTCGTTGGTTCCCTCGAAGAAATCAGAGAGCCCAATGCGTTATTGCCAGTGAACTTTTGCTTGTTTTGTTCACGGCTGATCTTTTCCAAATTTTCAGTGAAGATCTGCCGTATTATGTTCACAACTTGAGAAGATTATGCTTGATTTTGGCAGAAAGTTAGTTTTGGTTTTGTTCAGGGTGATAATGTATTGTTCGTCTTTTTGAAGGCGAAAACGAGAGGAAAAAGAAGAAGAAAAACGGCGGAAACAGGAAGAGGAGATGGAGCAAGAGCGGCTAGCGAGCATTAAAATTGAAAGAGAACGTCGCGCGAAGGAAGACTGGAAAAAACGACAACAACAGGTACTAGCACAGAGAAAACTCGAAGAGGAATTGCGTAAAGAACAAGAGAAAATAGAGGCCGAACTTGAGGCTGCGCGGCTAAGGGAAGAAGAAGAGAGAATTAAAGCTATGGAGGAGTCAGATAGGATAGCATTCCTGGAGAAAATGCGTCAAGAAGAGGAGGAACTGAGAAGGCGACTGGAAGAGCAGAGAAGGAAGGAGGAGCGCGAAAGGAAGCTTCGAGAGGAAGAGAGAAAACAACGAGAAGACGCTCTGGCTTTACTACGGCAGAAGCAGCTACAAAGACATTTGTTTATCGCAGGAATCCTCAAAGAAAGTCATTACCTTTCATTGTCCCAACGATTAACCAAGGCCTTTACGTTTTCATACTTTGATCTTATTCCATGGAATCATTTGCAGCATTTAAAACCTCCGCCTTCTCCAGTCCGAGACCTTCTTCACTCGGTTAGAGAAAATATCCCTCCAACCATACTGGAAGAAGACGAAGTGACAGAAGATTAGCATATGGAAAATTATCACTTCTCAGAAATAGTCTTAAAAACAAAGAAATTGGTTCATATGAAGATATTAAAATTGAATTTTGAAAGCTCCATTGATTATTTCTGTCCATTTCCTTCAATAGCAGGCTATAATAACGATGACAATAGATGGGAAAGGGGAATTATGCCTCGGAACCACGTTGCCTTTATATTCGCCACTAAAGGGAATTATTTTTAATGTAAAAAAGACACAACGCGCGCCCTTACTGGTCATATATCCGTCACATATTTGCCTGTAAACACATAGAAACTTGGAACTCTTTTTTTTCTCAAGCATTTCAGTGGTCCAGAATCGTAAATCCTCCAATTTGATTGGCTAATTCCGCGCGCTTCAGCGATCCAAATTTTGCCGTCCAGACCCCGGGTACGGACCGCACCGAGTTTTGTTATTTGCACATTTCAATCTTTTCACGAGAGAAACTAAAAGATGTAAACATGTAACAAGTGACTCACAGTAATGGATTCAGACCACGAAAGCTAACAAAACGAAAGCGAATTTTATTGTCTCGAAAAGGAAAACATACTTCAAGATAAACTATGTTCCTTGTCTAACGCTGAGCAAAGCTTTGAATTTAACGACAACTTTTCTACTGTAAATTACACATTAGAAACCGAAAGAATTCATAGAGTAAAAGCCACATTAAATCCCCTTGTGTAGCGAGAAAAAGTGCCTCGTTAGACTTCAGATTTTCGGTGGAAGAAATACTAGATTTACACACCCCATTGCAGCAAATAGACAAACAGACAATAGTAAATAGTACATCTGGTCCTGATTTTGGTATTGTGCTACCAATGTCAACTTCTCGATCTTTCTTAAGAGAAAGAAAAAAGTCCTGAATACATCCATTTCCAATCAAACAGTTTCCTATATATTGTTGTTCCATTTAAAGTTCTTTTATTTATCTTGATGACGCTGAAGACATTTAAGATTTTACGATTATTGTTGAAAGGAAGATCGGATTGCCCATTTTCATGGAAAAAGAAAAAGTGTCTACCATTGTTTATTGAAGTTTATATTTTTGGTCTGAGTGAAATTTTTCTGTTTGTGTAGCACGGTTGTTCAATCCTGATTGATCGAAAGCAGTGACAGTATATTTTGATGAGGTACTTCACTGTTTCAGTTGTGACCTGTGTGACACCAGCACGTTGCTTTTTCCCTTATGAACGGTCTCAATGAAGAGACTTCTGAAGGTGTATCGTTATTACTGTGCTTGCCATTTTATTTATCTTCAACATTATTTTCGAGAATCGACGACAGGTATTCATCATGAAACTTTTGACCAGGTTCTGCCTCTTCCAAGGTCTGAATCCTTCGGATCTTCTTCTTTCCCGTTGATATAGGATATGAAGGCAGTCTCAATGATTGAGCAGACTGCTACTGACTTAATCGCATTAATTGTAAATCGGCTGAACGTTTTTAAGATTGCAAAATCTTTTCATCTTCAAGATACTGTTTTGCCGCGATTGACGCAGCGATCACGACAGTGAACTTCACATATTTCATTAGATTTGAACTTGGATCAGATATCATTGGTTCCTTAATGACTTTTTTTGCAACCCATCCGATTCTGGCGATCAATCCAGTCAAAGTAGCTGAATCACTCGATGTTTTCACAAGCTTACAATCAGACATTTTTTTGGATAAACAGAAAAAAAAATTAATCCATTGGCTTTATTCTGTGGCTGTGTTGGTCTAGCCTGTGGTTTTAGTTTTGGTTTATTAACAAGAGCCAAGCCTTCGGCCGAGACCCCAGAGGGCCATCAACTCTTTTCTTTTATGGTACAGTCCAGCCAGTGAGAGAACTACACTTGTTACTGAAAGAATTTGAGTGAGTAAGAATGATGATAATGCTTCTAGTTTTGGTTGCCCCTTAAGGGCCTGGCGAAAGGCTTCTGGTTGTAATCCTGCTGCTCCCTGGTTTGCCCCTTTCAAGGCCTGGATCTTTTGCATCTTCGGATTGCTTTAAACCTCCCTTTTTCTTATTTTCCTGTCTCACTCTTTTGTTGTATTCAGCAAGCGTTTTGCCAGCTGCAACACGCCCTGGGTCTTTGTCTGGTTTCGTCTTGTTTCTATCAGTTTAAGTCACCCGTTGAGCCTCTACGAGGCCCCGCCCCTCAGGGCTAGCACTATACGGCCCGGCTCAAAGAGCTTGAGCTAGTGCTTCTTCAGTCTTAGGCTCATCCATCTTAGATGTTGTTACTTACTTTTAAGTTCTTATTCCAGTTCTTATCAAGTTCGTATCAGGTACCTACACAAGTTCTTATCCAAGCTCTTATTAAAATACTTGATAAGAACTTTTTCAGTTTCTTCACAAATACTATCCTTTTCTAACTATTGATCAGGTACTCTAACTTTTTTGGCAGTAAGAAGTGCAGCACTTGCGATTGCCATGTACCTTCCACAATTTAGACTCGATCCACCGCCAATCACTCTGAGTTCTCTCTTAACCATGAAGTTATCATTCAAGTCGTTTAGAAGTTTTCCTTGATCAACAGGGAGAAAATGAAGCAAGTCTTTGAAGATAAGGAAGTTTCGTATCTCTTGAAGTACTTCTCGACATCTTGTGCAGTAAGCTTCTTGACTTGATCCTGGGTGAGAGATACACCAACCATTTCCTTCCACTTGCGATGAGAACAGCGAGCTGCTCACTATGTTCAGAATCACCAGCTGATTCAGCTTCAAGAATGTTCCAAACATCATTAGCAACGTCTTTTTCATTCATATCCATTATATAAGATGTTGTTAAATGTTAGATCAATACTGAAGGGCTGAAGGGGTGGCGAAATTAGAAAATTGAGATGCGAATACTTCACTCTCTCTAGGTTTGCTACAAATTCCTTCTGCTCATCTTTCATCAGCTCGCCCGCGTAATCCTCGAAAATCATCTTCATATCCTTGGCAGATGGTGTGTAGAAGATAAAAATTACAACTGTGTTCTCTGTGAATGGTTTTGCGATGCTTGTCATCTGTTTTGTGAAGACCCAAACGCTGATTCCCTTATGTCCTGCGCTGAACGCTAAATTCACGAGTTCATTCGTCCTCTGCTTCACATCTCTTGAAGCAGCACAATCATCGAGAATGATCAGTGTATTTGTTCTCTTAAACACAAAACTGATAATCCTAAGCCAATCATCGATCTGACGTTGGAGTGGGGTTAGGATAAGTAGGTCCTTATCATTTTCTGCGAAGCCATCATATGCATTGTTGTGGATGAATGTTGGACAGAGGAGAAAGATGTAATCAAACTCTCCTCAGAAAGTGGTGCTCAAGAGATTGACCAGGTATCTTGTCTTTCCAGAGTTCACTGGACCGACCATTAACGCATTGAATGGAATGTTATCAAAATTTATATTTTTTTTATTGATCTAATTGATTAGCACTTTGCGCCAGGGGCTGCTTGGGCTGTGAAGTGGCCCATGACCCAAAGGGCTCCACAGTCTAAGCCCTTCGAGCCGGACCGAGGAGTGGTAGTAACCACAAGCAAAAGGTGCTGTCTTATCTTCAATCGTTATTTTCTTATCATCATTTGCACTCAAAGCTATTTATTTTATCGTCTCAAGGAAGACCTCATGCCCATGTGTTCTGATTACATTCATATTCCTCATTTGAGTATTCCCACTGAATTTTTTTTCGCTTCCCTCAAACACCATGTAGCTGAGAGAACACTTCAATGATCTTTCTGTCAGCTTCATCCTTCATCATTCCCACGACCTCACCCTGACACGTGATCCTTGGGGTAATTGCCTGTGTCAAAGTTTTCTTCAATATCACTGCGTATACCCTCGTAAAAGTCTTCAGTTTCAATCTCCCACATCAAGCTGTCAGTGCCCGTGAATAAAAGTTCTGCTTTTTAGCCATATTTCTTCTTGATGGTAGTTATAGTGGAAGTCATACATCAGTGTACTGCTGATATCGAGGATGCCCATTCCACAATAGACCAGCTTATCAAACCTAAGTTTTGTCTTCTTCATATCAATCGCTACAACATCTTCATTGAATATCGTGTAATGCTTGAAGTTTGGATTTGCTGCAAGTTTCAATGCATTCTTTCTAACATTGACTAATCTCACGTCCACACGACTCCTGATATTTTCCATAGTTTTTCCAAAGACAGTTATTCATCAACTTGAAGAAATTTTTTCGAAGTCATCCTTTGCATTTGCACGCAGCTTCATGTTGAGCTCGATGTAGCTCTCAAGCCAAGGCTCTTCTTTGAGGCTTATTCCCCTATGAATCTTTTTTATCCTCAAACCTAGATCGAGATATTGTTTGAGTGCGTGATGAACCACGTATCTCTCCTCATCATACAGATAGAGAATCACTTTTTTTAATTTATTGCTCATTAAGCCTCTCAGGCACAAGCGGATAATCGTTGTGAAGATCGTGTAGCTCTTTCAGATACTCAAGATTCACCTCAAAATCACAAGAAATTTCTTGCCAAGTGTGGAGGTCGGTCATCCATTTGAAACCTCTTACAGGAAGAGACTGACATATCGCCCAACCGTAAAGATTGGTTGCATCGAGATAGGTTATATATTTCGTTAGCTTTGTTTCATCATAAACTTTACTCATTTACTTGTTGTTTGCCCTTCCATGGCAATTTGATATCATTGAAAAACCTCCCCGAATTCCTTTTTCATATACATCAGCAGCTTGTCAACACCACTGAAGAGTTTAAGCTCAACTTCTGTCACCTTCAATGCACCAATCCAAGCCAATCCAGGAGCAGAGTAATACCAGGCAGGTTCGAGCTTATAATTCTCGTAACAAACGTTTCTGAATTCTTCAAACACGTATGCAAACAGATAACATCCGTTTTGAGAAAATGGTTATGGTAATCACGCATCGTCTTCATGTCAAACTCTTTGTAGACCTTCTCAGCATGCTCATAGTCTTCATCAGATATATCACAGTCATTCAGCTTTGAATAGAACTCTTCTTTGGGAGGTAGTTCTCCTTCATGAAACTTTTCAATGCTGCTCATGTAGCCGTATGGATACACACCTTTCCGGGTGACTAATGGATTTTGTCTTCGAGTACCTTCTCAGTTTCCTTCAGCTTCTCAAGACTCAAGTTTGCGACTAAACTATCGAGAGAAGAAGCCATGAAATTGAAGTTGTCGATAAAGCGAAGCTCGTTCTTAATGTCAACTTCTTTACCTTCTTTGCCGATGAAAGGGCCAATGACGACATATTTACTGAAGCTGATGTACTTCTCCTCATTATTGGTAATGCATTAGATGTTTCCTCCAGCACTTCAACAAAGATCTGAGCAACATCCTCATCCTCACTCTTGGCTCTGTAGATGACTGGCTCTTGAGAATAAAGCTTATCATCGAAGCAGACAACGTGATAGCAGAACCCACATGGTTTATGCTTTTTATATTTATTTGTGAAACTCGTCACCGCTTGGCTCGCATATGCCAATCGGTTCTCTAGATGATTCAAAGTCAGAGCTTGACTTAATGGGATTAACTGCTCTTAATATACACTACTTGAAGTATTAACTATCCTTGTCCTTGATATTTATCACTGCTCTTCCAACTTTGTCGATTCAGCCATCCCTTCTTGGGATAGGAAAAGTGTCTGTCTTGGTCACGTTGTTCACTTTTCTGTAATCTATGCAAATACGGTAACTTCCGTCTGGCTTGGGAACAAGTATACATGGAGAACTCCAACTACTGCAGCTTGGGTCAATATTGTCGTTCTCTAGCATATACTTTATTTTACCCTTGCGCTTTATTGCTTACCTGGATTTAGCCTCTACGGGTGCTATTTTACAGGAGCGCAGCATCACCAACATCCATAACATGGTAAATCTGACCTGTCCTGGAAGGTACATCAGGAAACAGGTCTTCATACTCTTGCATTAGCTTTTTCAGGTCCCGGCGTTGACTCTCTTCCAGGTGTGACAGCTTAGAGTCTAAGTTCCGCAGCACATTGGAGTTTGTGAGTTTTGATGTGTCAGTGGTACTAAGATGAATACTACTAAGTTCGCCACTCAGTTCTTTGGGCAAAAACAACTTCATTAACATTTGCAAACTCTTTGACTAAATTACTACTTCGCTCCACATAAGGCTTTAACATGTTTTCATGATATAACTGTCTGCTTACGCCCATCTGGAGTGACTATAATATATTTAAAGTAATCTAACTTCTTCTCAATAACATAAGGACCAAAAAATCTAGAATTACCTACCGGCTTGCACAGTACAGTGAGATGCATGCACACGTGTAATGTCATGCATTTTTTTTGAAAGGGTCAACTTACAATTACATTAAAATCGTTGTATTATCAGACTAGATTACATGGTGTCAATAGTGAACTACATATAGAACTGCCGCTCGTGACCTTAGAAGCAAACTTGAGGAGTTTTGTTGGAAATTTTCTGTACACACGTGGAAACCTCCCTGTCAAGTGGCAACGGTTCAGACGAGCGTCGTCAAATTACGAAATCATGGCCCAGCTCAAGGCCCCTGACAATCCGAACTGGAACAAGGAACGAAGGACCGCCACCTTACTTACGAGTATCGGCTCGGATGCGTTAGATGTTATTAATGCTATGGAATTTCAAATTGAAGATGAAAGAAAGGGCCCAGCAGTGATTCTCAAAAAGATGGGAAAATACTGCTTTGGGGAGTACATTGAGACCTATGAGAAGTATGTTTTCAATCGCAGAGACCAAGAGATGAATGAATCCGTGGATGCGTATGTGACCACACTAGGAAGATTAGTGAGGACCCGCAATTATGGGGCATTGACAGACTCAGTTACTCTTTATAGAATAGTGGTTAGCATTAATGACAATTCAGCTTGCAAGAAGCTCCTGCAGACAAGCAGCTCACCTTAGGTCAATGTATAGAAATTTGTAGATCCATCGAGACATCAGCGCAACAGTTAAAGGTGATGACCGAGGAGGATGTTCGTTTTGTGAAAGAAGAGATAGGAAAACAACTTGGCAGAAAGAAGAAAAGGGTACCAGAGAAGCCTTCAAACAAGACGCAAGAGCGCATGTGCAAGTCCTGTGCAAGACAACACCCTTTTGCGAAAAAGAACTGTCCAACATGGGGAGCCTCTTGCAAGAATTGTAGTAAGCTAAACCATTTTGCAGCTTGTTGCCAGAAATCTAAGAAAAAAGTGCTGTCTGTGGATTGTGAATCTGACGACAAGGGATATGAATACGTGGCTGAGATCAAAGTCAAGAGCATGTTAAATCTCTGGCCATAAGTGGACATCTTAACAAAGTCTTTGCCAACCTACTTGTCAATGGAAAGGAGAAGTTTTAAGCGGACAGTGGATCAAATGTAAACATTATGACTGATGAGAAGGTGACAACGTTCTGTAGGCAGAACAGCTCTAAAAAGTTAGAGAAGACCACAGAAATAGAATGATGACTTATGACTGGTTATGTACAACTAGTCAGAAGTTAAACCTTTGGGCAAGGAAAGACTCAAGGTCGTTAACCCAAAGAACAATAAAAGGTACAGCACTGAGTTTCTTATTGTTAATACTGCATGGAATCCATTCCGGGTTTGAGAGCCAGTGAACATCTTCAATTGCTAACTGAAAAAAAACAGAATATTCATACAGTGGACTTGGAAGGCATGCAGAGTGAAAGTCCTAAGGTGGAAGACTACATGTCGCAGTACAAGGATGTGTTCACAGGAGAGGGCAGACTGGATGGACAACTCCCCCTAGAGATCGACAAGAATATCCAGCCGGTCCAGCTACCTACACGGAGAGTGCCAATTGCCCTCAGAGAACTTCTAAAACAAGAATTGGACAGATTGTCAAATATTGGAGTGATTCGAAAGGTCGCTACACCAACTGAGTGGGTTTCAGCAGTGGTGGTCACAGCAAAGACGAATGGGAACGTCAGCCTGTGCACTGACCCAAAACCCTTAAACTAACCACTACGAAGAAATCATTACCCTTTACCCACAACAGATGATGTACCGCCTCTCCTATCAAAGGCCTGTGTGTTCACAGTACTTGTTGCGAAAAATGGGTTCTAACACATACAGTTGCAGTTATGCAACTACTTTCAGAACACCATGGTGCCGGTATCGCTAGCTGCGTCTGCCATTCGGAGTATCACCAGCTCCAGAAGAATTTTAGAGAATAATTAATATTGCACTTAAAGGGTTACCAGGGTAAAAAGCTACAGCAGACGACATTCTGGTCTTTGAAGCCGGAGACACGGATTAGGAAGCCCTTGAAGATCACGTCCACAACCTGAGAGAGGTGTTCAACCGCTGTCGACGGAGAGGTATCAAGTTGAATTAAGAGGAGATGCAGTTAGGGCAGAAACAAGTCTGCTACATGGGCCACATTATATCTTCAGAGGGTTTCGGCGCTGATCCAAAGAAGTTGAAAGCCATCGACGAAATGGCGCCCCCTTCTGATAAGGCAAGCTTCCAGAGTGTACTAGGCATGGTAAATTACGTACAGAAGTTTACACCCAATCCAGCAGATTTGACAAAATCACTTGGAGAAATTGACAAGAAGGAAAATGAATTTGTACAGAAAGAAGAAATTCATGGCAAGTGCTTAGAGCGAGTAAAGCGAGTTCTAACCCATGCACCAGTGCTCAAGTTCTTTAATACTTCAATGCGATGTATCCATGAGTGGTCTAGGGGCCTGTCTCCTACAAGAAGGGCACCTTGTTGCTTATGCTTCTAGGACCCCCACTCCTACGGAAATTAACTATGCCCAGATCGAGAAAGAGTTATTGTCAGTTGTCTTTGGGGTTGAGCGGCGATGTCCATTGTAGAAAGAAATGAAGATGAATATGGTAGAAAGATTTTTATCGATACTGACCACAAACTCCTGGAATCCATTGTGAAGAAGAGTCTGTTGAGTGCACCAAAGCGGTTGCGAGAATGCTGCTGCGTCAACAGAAATTTGACTTAGAAGTCTCATACAGAAAGGGCAGTGAGATGCACATGGCGGATCCCCTTAGGCTAGCCTACATTCCCTTGGCTAAACGGGAAATTGGTGAAATAGAAGCAGTATGGAGCGTCACTGACATGAGATCACCAACAGAAATTGAGACTGAGCATGTAGATATGATTGCGCCTGTTCCCATTCGACAACTAACTCTCTTAGAAAACTAGAGTGCCACGGAGGTTGATGCAGAGCTTAAGGCATTAGTCACTATGATCAAACAAGACTGGCCAAAGAGCAAGGCAGACATAACACTCAAGTTTTAGAAATACTTTCCTTTCAGAGAAGAAATCTCCACACAGGACGGTGTCGTATTCAAGGGCAAGAGAATTTTAGTACCATTTACCCTAAGGCAATTAATGTCGCAAATAGAATTTCCTATCTCTTCTTTCACAAAGTACATGCCAGTCACCTGAGTGTTCAGGGGTGTCTCAGGAGAGCTAAAGAAGCCTTCTACTGGCGAGGCATTTACAAGCAAACTACAGAGTTCACCTCAAGGTGCAGCATTTGCAACAGCTACAAACCAGAACAGCGGAAAGAACCTCTAGTATCTTACGAAATACCGACAAGACCATGGCAGAGCATCTCAGAAGACCTGTTTGAGCTTGACAGCACCGAATACTTGATTACCACTAACTTTTACTCTAATTTCTTCGAGTTAGATATGCTGCCATCTAAGACCGCCAGAGGGTTATTGAAAAAACTAAAGCCGCACCTTGCAAGATATGGGGTTCCAGACCGTATCACCACAGACAATAGACCACAGTTTGCCTGTAACAAGTTTCAGAAGTTTGCAGCAGAGTATCAGTTTGAACACATTAAAACTTCACCACGATACTTGCAATTCAATGGCAAGGTGGAGAACAGTGTTAAAACAGCAAAGAACATCTTGAAGAGAGCTGCTGATGCTGGCCATGACCATCACTTGTCTCTACTGGACTTTAGGAACACCCCATCAAAAGGGATGGACGACACTCCTGCCCAGCGTCTCTTCACAGGCAGAACCAGCACTTCCTGCTAATGGTTAATCACCTGCTTCATCCGAAAGTCATCTCTAATGTGAAGCTCACATTACAACAAAGGAGACATAAACAACCCATCTACTGCGACAGAGGAGCCAAAGACTCAAAGTCAGAGATGTGGTGTGGGTTCGACCTTTACCATGTCACTCAAAGTGCTTTAAAGCGCAAGCTAGTAGTAGTCAGGGAGCGGTATGCTCCTGAATAGTATGCACAGAAGATGGTAGACTCTACCGCCGAGATCGTTCACATCTTTACAGAGTTTCCGAGAGCTTCCAAGGGATGCTAGACGAAGACAAAGTGCAGTCAAAGGCAGATACTCAGATTCGACCACCCGCCTGGAGACCCACTGAGGGGATACCCTAATTCTCGCGGCCATAACTACATTTTACCTCGTATTCGTACGGAAAGTTTTAAGCGCACTTTTGTTAACAGCTGTCTTTTAAGTTCTATTTAGATTACAACTAGTTTTCTCTTATGTGCTGAATTTTTGTAAACCTTGCACGTTCGTTTGCAGGTATATGTTGTTGTCTAATTTATTACGAGCTAAAACCTCAAAATTTCAGATGCCAGCTGCTTCGCAGCTTGGTTCCTGGCCAGTCTTGCCAAGTGTTCCCGTTCTTGACTCAACTAGAAATTATGGAGTTGTCAGATCTTCAAAGTTCCTGCAGCCAGATCCTCAGCCCGCTCCACCAGATTTTCCCATGCCTGTGTCCACTTGAAGTGGCAGAATTGTTAGCAGGCCTGCATACCCGAAGGATTTTTAAGGTGTTAAGGTGCAGAAATACTTTCCTTTCATAGAAGAAATCTCCACACAGGACGGTGTCGTGTTCAAGGGCAAGATGTCATCAAGTTCTTTAGTGATGACCTATACTGTGTGTTCTACTGTGTGATTCCAAGCTTGCGCATGACTTGTTGAAGTACGCCAGACCTAAAAATTGGAACCTTGCTCAGACTGGATAGAACTTGGAAGACTTATCAGTGTAAAAAAACTAGGATTTAGCTCTGCCTATAACCTTTGCTTTCATCCTCCTCCATCGCTCTAGGAGACATTTTATGGTCTCTTCCCTGAGATAACGGCTGTCATTTCAACAAGTTCATCACTCCACCAGTGGACTCTTGTTCGAAATGTGAAGAGTACCTTCAAATGCGCAACAGCCCTACGAAAGCAATTGTTCATGGTTCAACGGGCCCTTTCCTACGAGTTAGATAACTCTTGAGAAATGATGGAATTCCTGCTGAATTTTATAAAATTTTCTGGAATTCTGTTGGTGAATTAATGACTGAAGTTTTTAATCATTATTTTGAGCTAGGGCAAAGGTTAAATTCTCAAAAGCAGGCGATCATCACCTTGATCGACAAAAAAGGAAGGGACAGGATGTTTTTGGAAAATTGGAGACCAATCTCGTTGATTAATGTCGACTCAAAAATCGCAACTTTAGTCATCGCAAATAGAATAAAAATGTTCTTCCCTCTGTAATCCATGCAAATCAATCCGGGTTTTATGAAGGGTAGGTTTATTGGAGAAACAGCTCGTCAATCTTAGACATTATTGCTCATACTGAATCACCACAGTTACCAGGTGTTTTACTGTTTATTGATTTTGAAAAAGCTTTTGACTCCATAGAACATGAATTTCTTTATAAAGCATTAGGGTATTTTAATTTCGGACCCTCCTTCATAAAGTGGATTCAAACGTTTTACAATAACCTCTCAAGTTGTGTTCTTAATAATGGTTTTTTCTCTTCTCCTTTTCAACTAGAAAGGGGTGTTAGGCAGGAGACCCTCTGTCGCCTTATTTATTTCTAATTGCCATTGAAATTATGGCGATATCTATAAGAACAAATGAGAGTATTGAAGGCATAAAAATCGGGGAAGATGAAACTAGGTCTTTGTTGTATGCCGACGAGATGACAGCTACTCTAGCAAATATTTCATCAATCGAAAAAGTAATACAAATCCTTAATTACTTCGAAAAATGTTCTGGCTTAAAAATGAACCTTTCTAAAACCAAAGCTATGTGGGTTGGAAAAAACAAAAATTCTTTAGAAACACCTCTGGGCCTTGAGTGGTGTACAGGTGTTAAGACCCTAGTTATTCACTTCTCCTGTGATCAAGAACAAGTTATGAAACAAAATTTCCAGGATAGATTAAATGAAGTTCAAAAAATGATTAACTTATGGAAACTCAGAGGTCTCTCCCTATTTGGCAACGTAACAATAATTAAATCTTTCCTAATCCCAAAATTATTATATGTTTCTTCAATAATAGAAACCCCACCCGAAATTATTAAACAGATGGAGAAAATGATCTACAAATTTTTATGGAAAGGCCCTGATAAAGTCACAAGGCTTTCTGTGATAAATTCTTTAGAGAATGGTGGACTGAATCTCATAGACCTTGAGCTACATATTATTAGGATTAGGATAAATTCTTTAGAGAATGGTGGACTGAATCTCACAGACCTTGAGCTACATATTATTAGCATTAGGATTGTCCTCGATTCCGCGTCTCTTAGATGAGAAGGAAGGGCCCTGGATTTCTTATCTCAAATACAACTTAAAAAAATACGGAGGATGTTTTCTTTTTAGATGTAACTATGATGTAAATGATCTTGACGTAAGTCTTAGTAAGTTTTACTTACAGCTGCTTAGATGGTGGGCGGAATAATAAGGATATACGAATATATAATAAACCTGTTTTTTATAAAACATACTTTGACAAGGGCATAACTTATTTGAATGATTTGCAGTTCAATGTTGACAATGTGCGTTCTTATGAATCCTTTAAGCAAAAAGGACTTAACACTAATTTTCTGACTTGGACAGCCTTGAGATCTTCTATTATTAATATGAAATCAAAAAGGTCCTGCTCCATCCCCACAGCGGGTAATCTAGATCCTATGAATCTTGATTATAAGTCTAAATCTTTTAATGCATATACGGCAAAGTGTAAACAGTTTTATTCTACGATGATATCAAGTAAAGTGAGAATCCCGAATGGCTTTAAAAAGGGGACAGCGGATTTTGAGCTTTCAAATGCGCAGGAAGTTTTCTCTATTCCTCATCTTGTTGCGAGCGAAACGTATGTTTGGTCGTTTCAATACAGAGTATTGAATTTCATTTTTTTTAAGAACGATAAATTGTTCAAAATAAGTTTAAGTGATTTGGACAAGTGTTCTTTTTGTGGAACCTATACGGAAGATCTGTACCACCTCTTCTTTAACTGCTCCTTTGTGCAAGCTTTTTGGAACGTATTTACAGTCTGGTGGTTTGATCTTAGTGGCGAATATTTAACTTTGTCTTTAAAAGATATTATGGTTGGCTTACTTCAGAGGAACGATTTGTTAAATTATTTGATAATTTTAGCTAAAATAACTATTTGGGAATGTAGAAAAAATAACACCTCTCCAATATTTAGATTGTTTTTGCACAAGGTTGAAGTTAAAAAACAAGTTGAAAAAAATAATTGCTATAAGAAACAAAAAGCTTCGCGATTTTCAAATTAGATGGGAGTTTCTCATATAATTTTGTGTTTGCCTTTTTTTAAGGAAAAGAATGGAAGACCAATGCATAAACTTAGATCTCACATTCTTCCTTGTTTATTAGTTTATTGTAGTTTATTTTTGTTAGAGAATTAACTGGGCGTCGCCATCGCCGGTATGTGTCACTGTGCAATGTTAAAAGAAAATAGTACCTTTTGTAGGTAATAGTATAATTAGTCGATTGTGTTGTTAATAGAGCTGGATACTGTAAGTAGTGTAATTATTAGTGACTGTAAGTAGAGTAATGTAAATAAGCATTGCAATTAGTGTAAGTGGTGTTTCATATTGTATTGTAAGTATTGTGTTTGTAATTAAAAAAAAAGAAAAGAAAACTCTTGAGTGCAGGAATGTAAAACTACATATGGCATTGGGTACTTCACTGACGAAAGTGGAACGCATATTTATCCAAAAACTATTCAGTCGCCTTTCACTGAGAAAGCAACGTGTCCTATATGGATCTTGATTTCTACAGGTGGATACCAAGCCCTGGGTAAGTGTTGTTCCATTGAAGATACACGTTCCCCTAAACTTGAGTAACCAGTTTCATGTACTTGATTGAAATGATTATTTGAGGCAAAAACTAAGATCCTTTGATCTCATCTTTTTTCATAGAAACCACTGTTGGGTCTCATTCAATGGGTTCTTGGAGGCGTATAATGAGGTTTTTTCACGAAAGGTACCAAGTTTACTGATTGCCTATCAGGTGGGAAATGGAGTTTACTTTTTGTACAGGATATTGCATGCGGCAGCATAGGGTTCGGGCTGAGTGTGTGTGTGTGTGGGTGAGGGTGGCAAAAGACGGGGGGGTTTTCAATAACATATTATGCTGAATTTTTCTATTAAATCATGCATGATTATTTTTTATCCAATCCAAGCTAATACTACAACCCATCGGATGCTTTATTCGTAATTATATTACATCCAAAGTTTTTTTATTCCGGAATGAATAGCGTTCTACTTCTCATATCGCTCTTTGTTACACAAACTGAGACGACCTACTTGTTGAATTAGACGCTTCAAGAGCGTTTACCCGGACTTCATATCGCAATATCAGTTCGTACTCTACAAGTATCGAACACACTCACCCCGGCATGTTTATTTGTTTAGTGTGTTAGTACCGTAGTACTCGGTACAGACGCTAACAACGGCATGTTTATTTTCTTAGTACGTTAGTACCGCAGTACTCGGGACGGACAACTTATCACGGCTTGTTCTTCATCTGTTTAGTGGGCTAGTACGTTGATGCTGTATTACTTGGCATAGACTCAACTCATCGCGGCTTTTTCTTCATTTTTTTAGGGCGCTAGTACGTTAGTACTGAAGTACTTGGTACAGAAAACTCATCACGGCTCATCTAGTGCCTTAGTACGTTACCACCGTAGTACTCGGCACAGACACTCACCACGGCATGTTTATTTAATTAGTACGCTAGTACCGTAGTACTCGGCCCGGACAACA